GATCAAAACGAACTGAGGTAGTGGGGAGCTAGGATCTCTGACCAGACTGATAGCAAGTGCGAGGTTCTCGGCATAGTAGGCGCATTTATGGTACTATGACAGTGAATGGGACAGGTCACAACGACTGTCCCGGTTCGCCCTGCTATATTTGGGTGAGACGCCTTCAGATCCATAGTTGCGGGGCTAGAATGGCTAATTGTCCAAAGATGTGGGCGAAGCACCAAGGATCATAATGGGGGTATATCTGTCCAATACGTGTACGTTTCTTGATCAACAGAGTGCTTTCACGCGTTTGCCTTTCTAGCTTGATGTTGGCCTCAAAAAGAAGCCACAGACCACTATTCCAAACTAGTTTAGAGCTTGCGACTGATATTTTGTTCACCTGAATTTTGGCCCTAATTCCAAGAGAGCGGTCGTTTTCAAGGCAACGGTGGTCATTCTCGCCTCACCAGCTACGCGCCGGCGCTTGTTGCGGCACGGGAGTCTCTAGCTCCTAAGCCACGACCACTAACCATTCAGATGTCGGGAAATGATTTGGCTGGGCAGCCGGCGTTGGTCGACTGAATCGGGACCAGGTTTTGCTGTGCCGCTCGAGATGGGCGCTTAGAGAAGCATGACGGGGAATGAACTTGCGCCGTACAAGTAGGCTTCATTCTGTGTGCCTTTGGCCATTGGGAAGTGAGACATACGAGGCTCTTCTCCATCTGTTAATTTGTCCAATGTCTGTCGCTGTAGATAGTGCTGATGATTTTGGGGCTTGGGTGTGGGACGGGTTGCACACACGCTTGCGGACGAAGCACTTTCAGTTCACGTCGAGGTTACATCAAAGAGACCGATGATTAGACGCCTGGGGTGGTTGCGATTGCTCTTGCGCGTCCAAGGCATGATGGGATCCTGGAAGTTGCTATCACTGGGTAGCTGCACCACCCCGTAGTAAGCTTGGCGATGCATTGTCGGGGAGATATTACGGCTTAAACTATTGAGATGGTAGCTGTTATAGCCCCCCGAGCGACAAAGATACTTATGGGTGTCGTGATAGGGTGACATTACCGTGTTGGCTGTGAAGGAATTATGTCGAAAGGTCTGGCTAACCTGCATATGCATGCCCAAATGTTGGGAGCAAGTGATTGATGTCTTGCATCTGCATGCATCCAAGGTTGATCACATGCTCTCCATACACTCCATACACGTAATGAGCTTAGCCCGTCAGTCTGGTTGCTCGTACTTGTGCGGCATCGAGCAGTTTTCTTGGACTCAAAACACTTGAAAAGAAATCCTTGAAGCCTTTTTGGTTGGTACTTGATGGTCCGCATTCAGGCTCTCAAGTTAATGTCCGAATAACTAAGTGGCAAGTTTGAGTATTACTGTGATGATTATCAACTTATATGCCGACGGCACGGTCGGATGAGGCGTTTGGGCTGTATGTGTCTGTGTGTGTGGAAGGCTCAGTGCGGTCGCAGAAAGGGCTTACGGCATGGAAGCGTGAGCAAGGTCCCTACCTCATTTTGTCCAGCCGGGGCCAGATAGCATATGATCCAACTCTAATTGCGCCCCTTTGTCTTTGAGCACATGCTTTCGTTGCGAGTATAGCATCCAATATAGCCTGAATAGATGAAGTTGGGCCCTAGATCGATTATTGAAAACGACCAAGCTAGCAGTTTGAACATTTGAATGTCAGGGGGGAAAATGTATTGAACGGCTGTCCTGCGGTGAGAATCTTCGTTTGATGGCACAAGGTCTTAAAGAAAAAACAGCTTTTCCAGATCATCTGCCCAAGCAAAGCTCTGGTCGCTTTTTTGTGCTCATTCAACCGTGAGTGGCATCTACCCGGGACTAGGCCAAGAATTTTCATGGATAACCCATATAATAGAAGCGGTATAAAGAGATGCTAGAATCCCCGGTGATGGGTCACATTGTAGCCGGAGTGGCGGGGTTGCTGCAACAAGAGCCCGCTACTCTTTGCTTTCATGCACCTTGTCGCCCCCTAGATCGTAGGTGGGGTTCGAGCTTCTCAGTGACTTTTCTCCAGCACCAACATCGGGCCTTTCTATACCATTTTCCTAAAAGGTTCGAAGGAACTACTGGGAACATAGCATTAGACTGTGCCAGTGACTTCCCTGTACTGGGTTTGGGCTGCAGAACGTGGCGAGTCCTTCCGGAGCACCTCAAATGCTGACTGTTATTGGTCACAAGTGTGTAGAACCAACTCATATATGACAAATAACGTATATAGAATTATCCAGATGGTGCTTGACACGTAGCTACGTAAGTATACAGGGTTGGGGGAGGAGCGTCATGTCGCACATAGTAACTCTTCTCAACAACATTTCCCCATCATCTCATTCGACGATTCATTGGTACAATGAAGACCTTCTTGTGAAGTCTGGATATAGCAAAAGCACGTAAAGAGTAGAAGTTTAAAAAGGTAGTCTTTGCTAAGCTTCCAAGTCGGAAGTACTGTACATCTCAGCCATCTCGTGAAATCTATGGGTTGGGGGAATAGTCTGCTCGACCGATAACAATTTGCTACGAGGTTTAAACAGCAGGCTCTCCCTATATGCACATTTATCTGAGAACCTACCTTCCCCTGGGTTGCTCAGTTCTGATTGGAGCAGACACTGATCGATCTATCAATTTCGACCAAATCTAGGAGGGCAGGATGACTGCCTTCACTTGGTCATTACCCCGCGTCATCATCGTCGATCACTAACACCTGACTAGTTTGCGGCTATGGCGTTTACTGATACGAGTTCCAGCTGCAAGCCAACCCCTTGCTACCGCTGGTAATGGCCATACCATCTGCAGTTTCCCAGGACAGACAACTGCATACACGTTCAGCCATGTAGAGTTGGTGGAGCAATGTAGGGTTCGATCCGCTTATCGTATCTTATACCGTGGGCAGATGAGGCGCGGGACAAAAGTAATCATTCTCTTCGTTGGATGATCACTATGTTGACGTCAGTTGCCCCTCCGACAAATAGACTGTTCAATCTCTGAATGCCAGGCGCAAAATAATTACAGTATGTACGCGTGACTCTGTGAAGTTTTGGCTTCAATCCCTAATGATCAGTGCTGGCACTCTTACATTGTATGGGCGAAGCAGATGTGAAAAATCATGATTCTATTATGGCTACTTCAACTAAGATTATTCTTCTCCAGTTCGGAGATGATTACCAAGTACAAATGTTATTCCTCCATGAATACCCAATATGGGTGTTAATATAAGACCCCAAAAAACAACAGCAGAGTTTCTCATCCGGACCAAAAACACCCTTTAGGGTTTGGCGTAACGGTACTGAATGAAATAGGGTTCAACGCTGGCGTGGTGCGCACTAGTTCAGCTGTTAGCATAGTCTTGAACGGTGTAGACTGATAGACTGACCAAGCAATGAGCGCATAGCTGGTCATTTTGATCAATGAAGTTGTAGTTCTTAGGGTGTCCTTCCTGTTGCCAGTTCCGGCAAGGATGTCTGTAATAGCCACCGCCCGTTGCGCCGGTAGGCCTCCCACCAGAAGACGATGATTGTTGCTGATTCTGAGATGAAGACATGATGGTAGTTTTGGAAATGACTTGGATAAATGGGTGAAGGTAATTATCAGAGCCTGTGCGATCTATTTGATGCTTCTGCAGGTATTGAGAGACGACCGTTGGCAGTTGTGTTCTTCATATCGGAGATACTATTCATCACTTTATAGTCTCGCTAGATGCCTTTCTCCCTCAAGTGCTGCCATGCGGTTTCCGCGCCTCAATCAAAGATCACTAGACAGAAAGACGGTGGCTAGGCAAATTCCGCCCCTACCGGGGAACAGTCACATTGCATTGTTGTTCCGGTCCAGGAGTTGGCCGTCAGGCAGTCTTGTGAGGAGATGGAGACGCCACACGGCACAACGAACGCCTCACGACACCGGGGCATCGGAGAGGAAATCCACAACCGTGCCTCCGCCACACTAGCATGCGCATCTTCGGAGCCATTGTGAGAACAGATTCTGTCATTTTGAAACTGACATCGCGCAATTCTCCATCCACTTTCGGTTTTCACTCGGCTCTTCTACCTGGGTACGTATATACTTAGGCCGATTTTCTTCTCACAAGCGCCGCACCAACCGATTGCACCTTCGCAGCATCAACGAACAGCCTGAGGCATCAAGCATCGGCTTGTCCGTCAACGCCTAATACCACAGCATCCAGCTCCAACGTGCCGCTCAATGTCTCACTCTTGGGCCTCACATATGGCCTTCGAACGGCGCAATAGTAGTCGCTATCGAATGCTGGTAACCAACACGACGCTAGGCAAGAGGGAGCGGGTTCTCTTCCACCTGGCCAAATATCTTTTGTCAACGGGTGATCAGTATCATTCCACTACGCGCCGCCCCCATTCGTGCCTTGTGCCAACACAAATATGCCGCGTACTCGATTCATGACTATGACTTCATTTACAGGCCTAGGTGACTTCACAGTGTTGTACCGATAACGCCGCAGACGGCCTGCGTTCCTCAGGACGACGGACAACGGACGACATACTGCCATCCTAGGATGAGCTGTGGGTGTTCAACGTACCAAACCAGCTAGTTTTCGTCATTTCCCGAACTTGTTTTCCAAGGAGCCATGTGGGCACAGTTTGGAGCCCTGACCAGGCATGGAAAGGACAGATCAGACGATGTTTACTGACAACTCGAGTAGTTTCCAACTCTCAAAACCTTAGATGCACATGATATCTAGACGCTGCTTCTTACAGTAGCTGTTCGCTACTGAAGTAGATAAGGCTCAGTGGTGTGTAGGTATCATCAAGTTCAAATATAAATGCCCTTTGAGCAAGCTGAGACAATTAAATGAAAGTGAAGACTTCACCAAAAAGCGTTCGAAGGAGATATTGGAGCAGGAGAAAAAATGAAACACATGTATACCCAGTCTAGGATCCTGGAAAATCCAATCAACTGAAAGTAGAATGTGTACGTTCCAGCTTTATGGTAAATTTCATCTACTCCCCATCTTCACATACTTATTCAAGTTCCAGCATGACACCACCACCTTCTTCGGCGTCAAAAAACTCATCTTCTTCCTCATCTTCCAGGGCTTCATCCCTGTCACCAGCTCCTTCGAGTATTGCGATAGCCTTCCACGCGGCGATAGTCTCAGCCTGAAGGCGCTTCACCCCTTTTACCACGCCTCCCACATCTTTACCCCCAACTTTGACTTGTACCTTGTAACCCATGTCATCAACTCCGCTAGATCCATCTTCTTCACTCTCACCATTATTCACGACACGAACATACTTCACTTCTTTGTCTACCGCAAGAATACCCAGGCGTTCCTTTGGATGTAGGCAATCTACCCCATCGCGCAGGATGCGTTCAAGGCATTGCAGAATGCCAAGGCGTCGAACAAACTCTTCGCAGACAGGCAAAGACCCGTGGCTGTCTATGTAAAGGGCACCAATCATGCTCTCAACGATATCAGAGAGAAACTTTGGCGGATCCGTAAGTGAGAGAGCGTGCCATGGAAAACGACCATCGTGCTGGAGAGCTTCGGCTATTTGAATCCGGGCTTCAGAATGTCGCTGTATGGCTAATTTTCGTGACATGACAAGTTCATGGCTTGTGGACCGAAGAAACTGCCATAGAGCTCTTTGATGAGATTCAGGTTGTAAAGTTTCCTTGTTGGTGAACAGTTCTTCCACAGTTGTCTCAAACATACTGTAAGCGAGGAACGAGGCGTTGACCATCGCGGTTCGAATGCTGTGCATTTTGTGATGCGGGAGCTCCAATCTATGACTGTAGAGCCGTTTTGAAACGATGTAGTCGAGCACCGCATCGCCAAGAAATTCTTCTCGTTCGTACGAGCAATATGTGTAGAGGCCGCGAAATGTAGGATGCGTGAGTGCTTCGAGAAGCAATGCCTTGTTGTTAAAAGCATGGCCTACGAGATTCTCCACTGCAATGACGCCCAATACGGAGTCCTGTTCAGGGGCGGCATTGTAAAGTGTATCATTGGCCTGAGGTATTGGCATCCAATCCTCTAAGGGTAGCAGTGCTTTCACACATGCAAATGCTTTTGAGAACCCGCCAACAACGTATGAAGCACCGATCAGTGATTCGATGATGTCAGCGATCAATTTCGAAGACTTCTCTTGCTTGGCTGGTGGGTTTGTGATGGCGAGCACCTGACTGACGTATCTTGGCTTCCACTTCGCTCCTGTAAAGCGCTTGTAGAAAACAAACTCATCAAGGCCTTTAGCCAAGGCAGCCCGCGCTAGATACCCATTACTGACAAGTCTACCCTTCTTCCCTGTCAACATACCCTCAGGCATGCGTAGATGAGTAGCCATGAGATGCAGCGAAGTTATAAACTTCAGAATGCAATCCCCGAGAAATTCTAGTCTCTGATAGTTCTCTTCCCCATCCACGGCAGACGGGGTGAGTGCCAACAGAATGACAGGTAGATGAGAAATGTCGATATGGACACTCTGGAGAATGGTTATTCTGAGTGTGTTGGCTACCATGTATGTTTCAAGCTTATGAGCGATTGATGGAAACAATGAAGCCAATATAGCGTACGAGGCTGGAAGGTTTTCGACAATGCATGATGTGACTGCAAGGCTTTCAGTTTTGGTATATGCTTCGTTCTTATTTTCGCTCCCAAAGACGGGGTGTAAAAAGTCCCTGCGCTTAGGAAAACGCACGGCTTCAATAAATACTTCTTGGAAGTCTTGGAAAGCCAGAGATGCCGTTGGTAATCTGATGGCCTTAGCAATGAATTGTCGCATATCTCCTTGCTGCTTTACCAGACCCCATCTTTTCGGGTCAACATTGCCACGGAATACAAGTTCCATAGCCGACTGTTGGCTTCCAATCGTCTCGCCCCATTCACGGAGTTCAGCTGCTGACATGACACCGCCTGATGTACCGCAAGGGGTGAGCAAATAGATGAAATCGCAAGTGTCTTCTTTCATATGAACACCAAAAACGGAACGAAGGATTTTCCAAGTAATAGAACGCATTAGCTGAAGCTCAGGGTCATTCAGAACTACGCTGTTCAACGGCGAGCTCTCTACGTTGTAATGCTTTGTTTCGTTCCAATGAAGCAATACACCTTTCATTGCAGGCACAAGAGACGGGGTCAAAAGAATCATTCGCAAAGACTCCTCGCCATCCGCTGTAACCTCGAGTAAAGTGCTATGCCACTCAGGCAGAACAGTTTGGTCATACTGAGCGATAATTTGCCAAGGGTCGATAGTATGCGATACTGGTATCAGAGAAGGCTGGCTGTCACGAGTCTGATACTGTGCCATATGTTTACCATCCTCCTCTATGACAGGGAGGAGGTTTTCGTTCACCAAGCCAGCGATGTATAGAGTTTTGTATGCTTCGAAAGCGGCGTCCTTTTGCGCCATCCGTTCTGTTTTCCATGTCCTAGAGCTATTGGCAGTTCTTACTGTAAGATCGACAGAAATAGGGAGCGAGGCTTTGGCAGAAATTTGACCATTAATGTTAGTAAAATCGAACTCTGGCCGGGCATCCACGTAGGTACTGGAGGACAGGCGAGCACAAAAGTGGTATAGATGCTGCATGGCATTATCGAGAGTCAACAAGGCACTGAGGTATTGTTAGTTATTTTGGACAATTTCGGAACCATCCGCTCTCAAGAGACACTATCCAAGATTCCAAAAGATAACAGCTCAATGCTTACCCAGTGCTCTCAATCCTCAGACATCGTGAGTCATACTCTTCAATGGATTCTTTTTCCAAGGATAATGTCGTTTGTCGCTCGTCGTCTTCGTATGCCTCCCTCATTTGAGCTTCAAGGGATTGCCAAGATGCTGGGGAGTACGCATCTCCGGTGTCCGGAACAAGGATGTAATAACGCGACCTCTGTTGTCTCGCTCTCCCACGTCGTTGAACGAAGCCTCTAAAATGGTAAACAACAAGTCAGCTTGTGCTTCGAAAAGTATGCCATGCAAGGAAACTTACTTGAGAGTTTTAGGGGCCTCAAAGCACACCACAAGGTGGCAGCTAGGTATATCAATGCCTTCCTCTAAGACACTGGTGGCTAGAACAAGATTGATGATACCAGCCTTGAAATCATCCAGTACGGTTTGCTGGTTCTTGGGGTTCGCATAACTGAATATGCTTGATTTGTGTTGGGATGACTGTGACATACCGACAAATGTGCCCACACGGAGTAGAGCTTTCGTGCGTGGGTGAGAAGCCAGGATCTGGGCGAGAGATGCCACCCATACTCTTTGCTCCACAAAAACAAGGCCTGTGAAATTCGAACTGGTGACGGCTTCAGTGACTATAATGTCAATGAGAACATTGACTTTGTTTGATAGACTTTCTAACATCGGATTGGGTATGCCTGTGGTATGCTGCTGGACTGGGAGACGATGAAATATATTCAAAAGATGTCGCCTCTCATCGGTGGACAAGTCGCAAGTCTGATCATGAGCTAGGATTTTGAAATCATTAACGCACTGATGTACGTAATGTTCCATAACAGAGTTTCCAAGCTCTTGTGCCATTGCCTCAGCTTTTGACACCAGCTGCTTCAACTGGTCATAGCAGTAAGTCTTGCGGCTATCCCAGAGCTTCTGAAGCTGCCGAGAGACATTGCATCCATTTCTCTGCTGTTCCAAGAGTGCGATTACGTATGGGTCCTCCATGAGGTCATAATTCACATAAGCATTTTTGAGTGCCAACAGCAACGCCGAGGGACTTCCAGTGGAAGGCTCTCGAGTGTAGTTGACTTGGGTTAGTTCTGGCCGGTGGACAGAGCGAAGCAACTCGGATCTATATAGCTTTGGTGTTCTCACAGTCGCTTGTAGGTTTCGTTCAATTGTCCTTGTACATGTCAGCTGATACGGGCCAGTGGGATTGCAGAGATTACTCTAGGCCTTGCTTGTTGGCCGCTGCTCTCATGACAGGGCTAGCGCTCAGGCCAAGAACTTTAGGTAACGCTGAAGTGCTGGCGCTTAGCTGAGGCATATAGAAATCAGACATTATCTTGTGAGCCGGATGTTTCAATGTACAGTGGTGAGCTAGAAGGCATCAGGGAAATTGATTCTTCGTTGCAAGCAGGCGACGGACCTTCATCGAATATGAGCAAAGCCAGCTTTTCAAGGCTTATGAATCCATGTGTGAGTGCGTCAAGTAGAATCTGATGCGTTGACATGACGATTCTAACATTGTGTTGAAAAACTTCATTCCAGGCGCTCTGTGTCGTCCATAGCTCAACGTCTCTTCCGCAGAGAAGCAGATGACTGTAGCCAGGAAGGTTGGCTTGGAAAACTCCATACTGCTGTTCGCAAAGCGCGACTGTGGGTGCAAGAAACCAAACGAGCTGAATAGGTGAGATGTAGTCTAGTATAGTGGGACTTAGCGGTAGATGGGTAGTATCCGCACCTTGTCGGGCTTGCACGTCTCCAGTTCCGCCCGCGCACGTTCGATAGCTCTGCTAGCCTATTAACTACAGGTCTTGAAAAACAAAGTGGGCGGCCTACATATGCGTTTTTCCAGAACCTGTATCCATAACGACAATGATGTTGGCTTTCATACTTTCCGCAACCATTTCAGCCTGGTAGCCCCGCAGGTGGAACACCTCGTTCGGAGTAGCAGCAACGGTCAGACCGTCGTCGCCATTGTGAAATGGCGAGTCCATAGGCAGCAAAAGTACTGAAATTAACGATAACGGAGACAGTATGAATCCTTGGGGGTAAGTCTTGGGCGGTGTTCGCGATAGTGATGTTGGCTAGCCTGCGACGTGCAGGTATGTCGCACAAGGCAAACAGCCAGCATGTGACGCATTGTGTTTTGACCAGCCCTTCGGCAAGGGAATGTGCCATCAACTAACAGCAGGCAGAGACAAAGAACACATGTTGGGTATTGTGGGACATCGTTTTCGTAAATACTACATAAGTCGCTTCATGCCTTTAGTCATAACTCGGTAGGGGTGGTGCGGCAAGGCGTCTAGCCATCTACAGATTGGTGAGGTAGTCCTCGACTTCGGAGGGGCTCAGCTTCCTGAAGCGTGGACCGACAGCACCTTCGACTCCCTCTACACCAAGTAGTCTCTCCTCAGGCGGTCCAACAATGCCTATTTCGACAGTTTCACCATTCATCTCTCCTTCTATCGTCTCCTTGAGGGTGAGGAGGGCGATGTGGATCGCATCCTCAAGCTCCAGACCGTCCGTGTATCGCTTTTCCAAAAAGGTCTTCGCACTCGTTGCGCTCTTGCCTATGGCTGTTGCTTTCCAGGGGAAGTAGCTGCCGCTAGGATCGACCTGATATAGACTGGGCCCACCCTTGAGAATGCCGCCCGTCTTGCCACTGACCTTCTTCTTCTCTTCACTCGTCTGTTCGTCGCTCTTACCCTCAGCCTCGGGCTCAATGCCATCATCCCAGCCTGCAATAAGCAGACTGACGCCGTACGGCCGGACACCACCTGACTGCGTAGCCTCCTGCATGACTCTAGCCACGTCTTGGACTAGTATCCTTGTCGGTGGGTATTCGTTGTAGACACGTTTGTATCCAGTATGCGAGACCTTGCGCGCCTTGTCAACGAGGACGCGATAATCGGGACCCATGCCTGAGTAGACCATGCCAAGATTAGGCGTTATGAGACTGATCTTGGACGAGGATTGCGAGTCAATGAGCGGCGATGACGATTTCTTCTCAGTCGCGAGGACGATGCCATTGGTGGCTACAGCAGCTGGTCAGTGGCATTGCATGGCTGTTGGAGGAAAGACATACCCTTGATTCCTAGTGAGGTCACGCCCTGATTGACGGCGTTCAAAGCATACTCTGTTGTAAAGTCAGAACACGGGCAATGGTCTATGCTACAACACTGGGAGCGTGCGTGCAAGGCAGCATACCAATCTGAACCAGCTTTCCGCTGCACGAACTGTCAGTGACCATGGCATATGTACAGGCGGTAGCGCAGTGCATAGTTTACCTGGGAGAGAAGGTGGTGAGGGAGAAGGAGTATCTGTCCGCCATGGCGACTAATGGGAGTTGTGATCCGACAGGCTCAGTTCAGCGTGGGCGGTAATGCTGCAGTAGTCGTCGTTATTATTATTATTGTTGTTGTTGTCGTTGTCGTCGTCGTCGGGCGGCGGGGGTGGAGAGACGGCGCTCACAGTGAACGGCGAGCTGCCACTAGAGCTCCAGGCTACCTAGAGCTTCGTTGCAGTCGCGCCAAGGCCGGCGCTCGGCTTTACCCAATCTCCGGCCGGCCTATTCGAACGAAGAGCAAAGCTGCAACTCTGAATTCTCCCGCCTTCCAGAACTGCGTCTCTGTCTTCAAGCCACCCAAACCGTTTGCAGCCACCTGCCACCGTGTCCCTGCAGCTCGCCCAACCCCCCGCTGTGCGCCAAAAGACGCGGCTGTGCCGGAACATGATCCGTATTACCGGGACATTTGAGTTGGCGAATGTCTTCCCCGCGGCCTCTTGATTGATCCCCCTCGCCCTCTTCATGTTCACTTGCGTGCTTCTCCCCTGGTAAGAGTCAGATTAAGCTTACCCCCCAGACTTGATACCATACCCTCCTGCCCCCCATGTCTTCATCCTCTGGCTTCCAGCCCATGCCAGGATGGTACTGGCCAGATGACGTACCCAAGCATGAGCCTTCACAGTCTGGTACCGCCTCTGCAGATACATCCTCGCGGCAACAGCACACTGGTGAAACTCCAAGCGGCCCAAATTCGTCATCGCAACCGCGTAGTTCCAGACGCACCCACTGGCCCCCCAGACAGTGCAGAATATGTCTCGAGACGGTCCAGCCGACCTTCAACGTCCCTTCACCAAACCTACCCGGTTTCTTACAGTCTTCCAATGTGGTTTACGAAGATGAGACTGGTCGCCTGATCCGCCCGTGCATGTGCAAGGGCTCATCCAAGTATGTTCATGACGCGTGCTTGCAAGCCTGGAGGCACGCAGACCCCAGCTACGGTCGCAGAAACTACTGGCAATGTCCCACCTGTGGCTTCAGGTACCGCCTGGCGCGTCTAGGTGCCGGCCGCATTATTGGCAGTGTTTGTATGTTACATCAGCCATTTCCTCTTATTCACCAATAAAAGCTAACAATGTCGCTAGCTGCTCAGGTTGGTTTGACCGTCCTCATACTGTTTTCCATCATCTTCGTCCTAGGATTTGTTGCCGACCCTATCATCAACTTATATCTTGACCCTTGGAGTGTGCTGCTTCCCTGGACTGGGCATTCGGCCTCTGATTACTCTTACTACTACGAGGACGAATCGTCTACTTGGTATGAGCACTTTGCAAAAGGCTTTGCAAGCATGGGCGTTCTCGGTTTCTTGAAAGTTCTGCTTGCTAGTCCACTTAGTTATTTTAGGATTGGAGGAGGCACCCGAGGTCGTACGACGGGCCGCGATCGCTATGAACAGATCAGCTGGATCATCATTCTAGTTGGTGTTGCCACGTTCTTAACGGTATGTGCCGGGTCAATGTCAAGTGAAAACGCATGCTGATCCCGAATAGGCAATTTACAAGGGAGTTCGATCTTGGAGTCGCCGAACGCTCGAAAGGGCTGGCGAACGCGTCATGGATGTCCAAGGCGATGACGAAGATGAGGACGAATAGCTGGAGTTGTAATCACCATGCCTCATCATGTATGATTTGAGAACTATGTTTTCCGCCTTGGTCTGCAGCCGTCTCAAGACCCAATCCGCACTTTCTTAAATTGCCACAAGTTATTCCTCAATACTGTGTCGATTAGTCTACGTGCGAAGATCAAACCAGCCCATGACATCCATATCAGCATTGTACGTTTTGTGCCGGCTGGCTTCTTGGAACATGGTGCTACTTGCCTTTGGCACTCATTTTGTTCTGCCTCGCCAGCTCCTCGGAGCACCTCTCATGGCTTGAACGACATCAGGCCTTTGGCACATCTATATCCAATTTGAATCGCCTTTCTTTGCTTTTCCGGGGACAAACATCCCGAATTTTTTTTGATATCATAATAGGAAAACGTAGCATGTAACATATGAGCGATTTGAGTAAAAGACTAGATCAGTAAAGATCAAATATTATTACTGTTTGACCGCAAGAAAATGGTCAATGGAAATCACAAGAGAGGGCTTCTGGTGTATCCAGCCCCCTTGTCCCAGTGCTATGAAGCAAACTCTTCTAATCATGATCCCGTTCGAAAAAAATACCGAAACCCCAAAACCGAAAGCAAAAGGCCCCTTCGCCCTTGCTTGCTGAACGCCAAGATAAGAAAAGGGAAAAGGGGATAACCTAACCATTGAATCTGTGCCGAAAAAGTCCTGGGGTATCAAATGTTCTTGTTTTATACACTGCCAGCGCCCTAGGAAAATGACGCTCGCATTATTCACCAAAAGCGGGATTCCCGCCCTTCATAAAGAGCCTCCTTGTGCCACCGACTCTGCCCAAGTCTTTGAATTCCGGCTTCTTACCGCCCAGAGCTCCTCCGGGGCCCGCGCGGCTTCCTGGACGGCTGCCGCCACTTGTGAGTGGACGCTCGTCGCGTTGTGAGACGGGACGATCGGTTGGAATTGCGTTGGTGCTCACAGTGCGAGCTTGCTTCATCATGCCCTCTATCCACACCAGCTTGTCACTACTGAGATCCAACTTTTTGGAAGTTGGGCCCGCAAGCCCAACTTCTTTGCCTTGCCACGAACTATGGGATGACGTGGTTGAGGGTACATCTGGTTCTTCGCCCCGTTCCGGAGTTGAAGCGTGGAAAGTGGGTCTTCGCGGAGGCGTCTGGTCTATAGAGATGCCCACGCCCAAACCAGAAGCTTTGACAGGGGTGGTGGAAGGGCTAGGAATCGGGTAGCCAGAGCTGATGCGCCTCTCCCGCCTACTCATGACACTTTCTGGACGACCAGGCGATTGGTCTGAATTCTTGATCTCCAGACCCACAACTTCGAATTTGCCCTCGCTTGCCGTCCGTCGGCCATGGTGCTCAGCATATTGACGCAGATATTCGCCGAGATCAGACCAACCACCACCAACGCGTACCATGACACGCTCGCCATTCTCCCCCACTCGACGAATGAACAGCTTGACGGGCTGTTCCTTGCCTGGCTGGGTAAGATGGTACAGCTTGATATCATTGTCGCCTCTTGCTGCCGCTGCAGATCTACGGCCAGACGAGGCATTGTGAAGATCAAATTCACTCTTGGCGGGGGACAGAACAAGTTCGGGTGCTTTAAAGTTACTCACAGAGCGAGCTGCGCGTAGATATGTACGGCTACCTTTCGCAGTCAAGCCACGTGCTGGTTTCACTTCGGGGGCGTTAGGTCCGGGGCCGGACGTGAGCCTGATGTGCGCCGGAATTGTTGTCAGGATATCAGAGATTTTACGCTCCAGTTCCTCTGCGCTGTTGCCAGGTTTGTGGGTGAAATGAGATGGCGGCCACGGTGCATTAGCTGGAGGCTGTTCAAGAGTGGTTGAGTCTTGTTCCAGTCGCCGTTTCGGCATGGCGCCATTGAGTTCAGAATGAGGCATCCTCATTTCACGGATGGTAGGATTGCGAACTGACGGTGACTCTTCCACGGCACTGTGCGGGCTTGAGTCTGGAGACAGGTCCGTGGAGAACGATCCAAGGCTTCCTCTCCAGGAGCGCGGTGTCTGGGGAGCGTCAATGATGGCATCATCGCGGCTACCTTTGGCTGTGAGGATTGGCGTATCTGGGATCGCGAGGACTTTGGGATAACGCTGCACATGATTATCAGATGAGTCATCTGGTTTGGGGTCGCCTGGAAACAGTGATTCGGACTCGGCTAGAACAGCGCCATGTTCCGGGCTCTCGTCGAGAACGTGATGCACAACAGTATCGCCTTCATCAAACTCCGATTCATCATCAGAGGGAAGCGGCTCAGACTCGAGGCTGACATTTGCTGAAAGTACGCTAGATGAAGGGCGTGATGAGCTGCCAGATACAAAAGGCGAATCATCTTCTGCAGGGGCATCGTAGCCCAGGAGAGCCATGTGCTGCCGAGGAGATAAGGCGACGGCGTTTTTTGGGGATGTTGCTGAGCGTATCTTGGGTGAAATGATCTCATCTATAGATTCGAGAGAGTGTCCCTGCTTTCTGAGTGCATCTGACTGCAAAATAAGACTTGGAGGTCTGTTCATTGGAGAATCAGAGTTTGCCTCCATGTACCTGTCTTCACTGGCACTGGATTTGATAAGAGCTGCGGCGATTGAACATGAGTGATCGATATTATGGTGTGTGTCTGGAATCGCACTCGAGCTGGGATCTGGTGACAAATGCTGGGTGGTAGCAAGTGCGCTTTTTGGTGCGGCTGAGTCGTCTGCTCGCCTGCGTACCTCGGCATCGATCAGTCTCCTCCTGGACTCATGTTTCCAACGCCCGTAGTCTGCCTCTGTAGCCTCAAAAGTGTCTATCCAGTGCTCTGGCAAGCAATCTTCTCGGCCTTCAAGTGTGTCGAGCATCCTGTCCAACCGCCTACCCAAACTGCTCACTCTCTGATGAAGGATGGTGGAAATGGTGTCTATGGCTTGTTTCCACTGTTCAAAGGCAGGATCAGAGGGATCAGCTGGCGGCTCGATGGCGTCCCAACCTAGGCGCATGGCCTTCTGCGCGGTATCGAGGTCGCTGATGTAACGGGGAGCCTCGCGCAAGATGGAGACTCGGGCCGTCCATGTGTTGAGGCGCTCTTTGAGCTTGGTGTGATGTGGCAGGGCCGACAGCAGGGTCTGGGTAATGAGGAAGGAGAAATCATCCATGACCCTATAGTGTTGGCGAGTGGCTTCGTAGCCAGCAGATGAGGGCCTGGACTTTGCAGCGGGATGCATATCCAGCACATATTCCTTGAGCTCCTCGACGTCTAGTTTGAGCATCTCGTCGCCAATCTCGTCGAGGCGCGCCTCGTGCTGCTCCACCTCGACTGAAAGCAGCGAGCCCCAGTATTCAAGCGGCGGCACGGCGTGGTCGAGTCCGAGGTCGAGACGGCCGACGTGTTGCCTGATGCGCAGCTCGATACTCTTGCGCTTTTGCTCGCGCAATTGAGCGCTGGGCTCCTCGAAAGAGCCTGACCACCCCCACTGCTCAATCTCAGCGCACCATGCCTTGAGGCGCTGGGCGGCCTTGGCGACGCGCGCGCCTAGGTCTCTCTCGGCGGCGGTGAGGGTGTCGATGCAGGCAAAGATTTTGTATTCGTCGCGCGTAGTGTCGAAGGGCACGGGAGTGTAGGTGAAGGCGCGCAGTGTCGTCTCGGGCGACAGGTCGCGAAGGCGGCCGTCTTCTGGGCCGGCGTGGAGGCGGCCTCTCCTGCCACTGGGCGAAATGACTGGCGATGGGACTCGGCGGGGGGTATGTGGTGGCATCAAGCGCACGGGGGACGAAAAGGCGTCCATGATACCGCTCGCAAGCGCTGGTGAAGCAGGTGAATGAGTGAATGGTTGTGTCTTATAAACAAGGATCCTGTACGGTAGCGATTGGGCCACTCGGACGGGGCGCGCGAGACGGCAAGTCGTCTCGGTGTATCTACCGCAAGGGTTGTTGGAGCGTGCCGCCCGTCTTATTTGCGACTGATGGGTGCGAGCGAAACGTTTGCGCTGCCGGCAGCTCAGAGTATTTGTTGACTTTGAGAGTATGTTACGGTGCTGGCTTGTGGCGCTACGGAAGTGGTGGGTGCGTCGGGGGAGCCGGAAATAGAGTCCAAGACCCCAACAACGCACTTGCACGCAGTTGATGCAATTGCATGTCGGCGATCTACACGCCGTGTCAAGTTTTTCGTGAGCATTGAATCAAAAAGAAGCACCGGTTCCGCGAGCTTTATGGGCTTGCTAAGTGGCGGGTCTTGGGCGTGGAGTACAAGGACTTTGTGAAAGGTTAGATATATTCATTGTGCTATAATATGTATGTTTACTTGAATCTTTTTCATATACACGATACGATAAGAGCCATAATGTAGAGACAACGATATACATGGTAACGGGAGAGTAGTGAGGTCCTGACGCTGCAACTCTACATGGCACAAGACTGTTCAGTGTCGTCTCATATAAGTCGAGTATTCGTTTGTGCACAATCCCCGTTAATACCATGATTCGAAACTTGTCTTTGGCTAGTCCTAAAAAGGAATAGACCCGGCCACTTTCTAGTTCCTTCTCCACACATAGTACATACAGACACCCAGACACACAGTACCATTCTTGAACATCATCACTGCGCAAACGCCACAGCAGGGTGACGCCATGATGGGTCCGAGGAAGTATTTGACCAACTCCAATGTCCAACTCCGTCCCGTTTGTGTATCAATGGGATTGCAGCAGACAAGAGCGAGAGCGAGAGAGAGAGATGGTCGTTAGGAATGGGGAATCCCCACCGTCCTTCCCCGCATGCATACACACACACACCTTCTCTCTCTTACACACCTCGGCCACCAGTATGCCCGTATTACTGACGCCTTGCGCCCCCGCGTCATTCGAGATGCTCCTTTTGATTCCAGAAGCCAACCGGCTGCCCTACAGCCGATATCGTCATCCCCCATGGCCAAGCACGTCGATGCTACCTCGCGCATATCCAACCCCGCGACCTTCCACCCTGAGTTAGTCAATTGCCCGCATATCTCCTAGTACCTGCATTCCTGGATACCGAATATACGCAAGCCGCAGTATCCGACGTCACCGCCAATCGCTGCCTTTTGCCGAATCTTTTTCCCTCAACGGTATCGTTGACGTTGCTGCGTCAAAGCTTGTCATGTCCATGTGCAAGTATTTAAAGTCATGGAGACGCAGGGATTGCTAGATACACTTTGTGTCCCACCAAGTTGTGCCATCCCCGTTCCCTCACTCGGTCCACCAACATCATGAGGCCATCACTCTTGGTCCTTGCGGCCATTGGCGCTCAGGCCTGCCAGCGTGAACGTGCTTTCCACCATCATTCCCACCCGCATGTCAAACGACAGGCGTCCTTTCCCCCCACCCTGACCCCACATGAGGAGATCTTGCTCAATTCTTTCGACGCCCTCTCTATATCTGAATGGTCATACTACTATAGTCCGTGTCGCAAGCCGCCCACGACCACAGCACCGCTAACGCTTCGCAGCTCATGGAGCCCACTTGGCTGGCCAGAACAAGACCATGGGTAATCAATCACCACATTCGCCAGTGTCCTCAACAAAAAACACTAACTCATGATCAAAGCACAATGGACGGCAGATAGGTGGTCCGACTATGGTTTCACTTCACGCTTGGACGAATATTGTAGGCACAGTCTCGACCCAACCTTTGCACCGAGACATGCATTGACAATTTTCCAGACGTGTTCTTGAACTATCCCGTGTCAAACTCCTTGAAGCTCACTTATAATAATGGGAGTACGTACACTCCTAGTCTAAAAGAGGCTGTACTTGAAGAGGACCCGACCACCAGCTACCCAAACAGCGTGCCTGTATTCCACGGCTACTCTTTTACCGGTAATGCGTCTGCAGAATATATCTACGTTGGTAGAGGTCAGCAAGTCGACTTTGATCGTTTGATTGAACTTGGTGTCGAACTCGAGGGCAAGATTGCATTGGCCAAGTATGGTGGGCCTTTTCGAGGTCTCAAGGTCAAGAATGCCCAAGACCACGGCATGATTGGAGCCGTCATTTTCACAGATCCTGGTGACGATGGCAACATGACTGAGTAATTACATACCTAGCCTGTCCATATCTCACTGTACTAACGGTATCCAGGGCAAAAGGCGTCGCTCCTTATCCACATGGCGGTGCTAGAAACCCTACCACCGTCCAGCGTGGATCAGTTCAATTTTTGAGTACATACCCAGGAGATCCAACCACGCCTGGCTACGTCTCCAAGCCAGACTCGCCACGCTCTGATCGTAGAAACATTCTGCCCCAAATTCCCAGTCTACCCATCTCCTGGATTGAGGCCCAGCCTCTGCTACTAGCTCTCAACGGACACGGCTCAAATGGTACTGAAGTTAACAGGACGCGCTGGATTGGTGCTATTCCAGGCGTGGAATACTACACCGGTGAGGGATCGGGTGCTACGCTTTCCATGTCCAATGTTATGAATGACACATACGGTACAATTTGGGATGTTGTCGGTATCATCAATGGAACCAATGAAGACGAAGTCGTCATTGTTGGAAACCACAGAGATGCCTGGATTGTTGGCGGGGCGGCTGACCCCAACTCTGGATCCGCTGTGCTTGTCGAACTAGCCAAGGCATTTGGCGCACTCTCAAAGACTGGATGGAAGCCGTTACGCACCATCGTACTCTGCAGTTGGGATGCCGAAGAGTATGGTCTTGTTGGAAGGTATGTATGCCACGTGTGACCGTTGGTGTCTTCAACTTACATATCTAGCACCGAATGGATGGAAGAATATCTTCCATGGCTCAAGAACGCCGCAGTCTCCTACCTAAATATCGACGTAGCAGTTTCCGGCCCGGTAAGCAACAACTGAATAATGCATGTGTAAGCCATACTAACAATGTCGGCCAATCTCCAGATCCCCGATGTTGCGGCAACTCCTGACCTCCATGCCATTGCTACTTCGTTGATGAAAAAGGTTGTATATCCATACCGCAACGAGACCAGTCTCACCATGTACGACGTGTGGACGCACGAGTCCGGCGAAGTTGGCGTCCTCGGCAGCGGGAGTGATTACACTGCCTTCCTCCACCGTGGTATTGCATCCATCGACATGGGAGCTGGCCCTGGACCAAATGACCCCGTCTACCCTTACCATTCCAACTATGACTCTTATCACTGGATGGCAACCTTTGGTGACCCAGGTTTTACTACACACAAGGCCATGGGCCAGTTCCTCGCCCTTCTACTTTACCATATGGTCTCCGATCCCGTGGTGCCTCTGGAGCCAGCCGACTACGTCTCTGAGCTCAACACCTACCTCGATTCTCTGAAGGAGGATATCAGTGCCAGTAACTTCACCATTGACCTTAACAATCTGACGAGTGCCATTTCAGCGTTTGAGAGTTCGGCCAAGGAATTCGTCCTTCTTCGGGATCAAGCGGTTGCTGCCAATGACAGCGCGCTTATCACCGTGCAGAATCACAAAGCTCGAGATTTCTCTCGTGGGTTCACTAGCCAGGGTGGCTTGCCCACCCGTGAGTTCTATCAACACACTATCTTCGCTCCCGGTCGAGATACGGGATATGCTCCCGTGACGTTTCCTGGTATCACAGAGAGTATCACCTTTGATCAAGACGCCAACCTAGCGCAGGAGTGGGTTCAAAAGACTAGTGACGCAATCTTGCTTGCTGCCAGTATTCTAAAAACATAGGATGACTCTGTATCGATAGAAAAACAGAAAGACTAGCTTTTATCTACAGAACACTGCGTTTACTATGTGTCGCCATGACGCCTATATCCTGCTAGGGATGGTGGAGAGAGCCATGCATTGCATTGTCCGTCCTACTGAGAGCGCTGCCCAGCGTCTTCATCGCCAGCATAGTCTGGCCTGAGTAGTGTAGATCGGCACTGACGCCGCTAATTTTCTGACGTTTGCACTAAGCTCACTAGCCATCCCTGTCGTGACATTCGCGTTTTCAGACGGTAGTTACAGCTATTCTACGATCGTCTATCCGGCAGCTGGCAGAACATCGGGACACAGTTCCATTGGCGGACGGGGACCCTGGTGTGCTTATTGGGTATAAGTGGCGAGTGGTGGCGTTAAGCACGATACTTACGCCTTGGCAGGAGAAAATCCACAGAACCATCGCACTACCGGCCGGCACATGTTGTTCGAAGCTACTCGTTGATGTACCCAACGAACACAACCTTCGAGATATACATCGTACGGTGAACCTCATACAAGATTGCCCAGAATCACCACACTGCCCTCCCACTGCGTTAGCTCCATGATTGAAATCACTACCCGCCCAAGGCAATCTGCCTGTTGGGAACCCAGGGGAATAAGGTTTGCGCCAATCCGTCTAGTGTCGTGGAGATGCCGCTCCACGCCAAGGAAGAAAACCCCACCTCGCAGTGATTCGAGACGCTCATTAGAAAGCCCTGAAATGATACTCATCAAAGTAGTCGCAACTTCGCTCGCGCCCTTCTTGCTGTGCCTGAAGAAGTTCAGGAATTTCTTTTACGCATGGCTGTACTCGTTGCTTCCCCGCACGCCAGTGGCAAAAGATAGAATTGCTCGCCACCACACCACAACCTGGCAGACTAACTTGTGGTTCATCCATCAATCAGAGCCGCGCGTGTTGTCTGATTCAGGGTCAGGGCCAGGCTCGCACTATGCCTTGCGAGGTTTCGGGCGCTTCTGAGGCAATCTTTGTTTGAGCTGGTATGTAAACTGAGCCACCCCTATGCAAGTTCCAAGGATCTCTTCTTCTTGGGTAAAGTACCCAGGTGGTGCAACTCTGTGAAGGCGATTGGAGAGATGCAGATTCGAAATTTTTTCGCAGCTGTGCTGTGTACCCAGCTAAGTCAGATTGGTGTTGCTGCGCTGAACGATATTCGAAGTGTGGACTTGAGGGCTTTGTCAATCAGTGATATACCGCTCTGTGGTGTGGGTGTCCAGATCCCTATTAGATTTTCGGAGTTCTAAGACTTTTTAGGCTAACATTTGATACAGTTGAGCTGCCTGTTCCTCACTGTGCCACCCGCTGGCTGCACTCTTGACAATTATGACTGTCAGTGCCAGAATGCCGAACTCGCACACACACTTTCGGCCTGCATGCTGGCCAATTGCACCATGGCCGACACCCTGAACACAGCGAAAGTGCAACAGGATATCTGTCACCTCTCTAATGAGTCTAAGCAAAACGATGTCTACATCTATACAATCGCTTGCTACACGATCGCCGTAACCTTTGTGCTCCTGAGGGTTATTGGGAGAATAATGACTCGGAGATTCGCTCTTGACGACTACATCGTGGTCATAGCACTGCTTTTTACCACAGTTCCTTTGGGACTAGTGCTCAAAATGGCTGGAGTAGGCTTTGGCGAACATCTCTGGAATCTCCAAGAAGGGCAACTACTCCAGAACCTTCAACTCTTCTATGTGGCATGGGTAACCTACACGTTTGTCCTTGGACTCACCAAAATATCCCTGGCATTGTTATACAGAGAGGTCTTCCCGTCGCCAGGCGCTCAGCTGGGATCCTTGGTGCTCCTGGGTTGGATTGCCATCAACACTTTGATTCTCATCTTCCTCACAATCTTCAATTGTAACCCCGTAAACGCATTCTGGGATCGCGATATCAAGACCGCCAAGTGCACGGACATCAATGCCATCGCATACGCAAACAGTGCATCGGCGATTGCTCAGGATGTTGCTTTGCTTATTTTTCCTTTGGCATGCATTCGGACGCTGAATATGACGAGATGGCGCAAAATAATGGTGAGCATCATGTTCGCTATTGGAACACTGTATGTATCTCCCATTGTTCATTCCAGGAGAGGTGGGTAAACTAACGAAAGCCAAAGTGGGTGCGTAGCCACGATAGTCCGCCTACACACAATCCTAGCCTTTAAGACCACAATCGATCCCACTTGGGACTACGTTCCCATAACCATATGGACAGAAATCGAGCTTGCTTGCTGTTTCGCTTGCCTCTCCTTGCCTGCAATCCGCATGTTGCTTGGACGCATCCTACCCGACGGTTTCTTCTCGTCAATCACCTCGCGATACCGCTCGTATGGATCCTCCGCCCCGGGTCAAAGAGTCAACATCGTAAAAGCCAACTCTACGCCAGCAGGCAGAGGATTCCGAAGCTGGAAACAGATCTCGTCAGACCACGAGCAGGATGCGGGAAGGTCGAGCGAAATGGATGTGTTAAATAAGGCAACGACAGATACGCGGAGTGAAAAGAGTCGTGGAGCGGAAGTGCGTGCAGAAGAGGCAAGGATTTCAGATGTGGAGGAAGAAATACTGCCAACCCCGTGGGGCCATCTATAGACACGTAGCTCTGGACAGGCTCGCTATATATTCTAGGGTCTGTTATAGGTCGAACAAAGATACTATCGTTAATTTTTTTTTCTGCCCAAAAACAACATCAGTGCATCGGGGCGTCAATGCGAGTACCTGGACGGCAACATACGGCATACTGCTAGGCTTTTGCTTCCAGCGCTCATTGAGTGGGAACGGCGCTCGGCTTCAGGTTAAGAGCCTACTAAGAACAGGGCAGAGTACAGGAAGAAGAAGATCGCTCGCTAGAAGGAATAGTTATGACGAGAGATAGAAGAGTTGCGGTGGTGATGACCGCGCGATAACATGCTCTAGCTCTTTTAGAATGCTAAGCATATTGCTACTGCGTATTACTACTTCGTAGCTTCTACCAACTTAACCTAGCTATCTTTTAGCCTTTGTTATAAGAATAAGCATCTAGGTCAACAAACTCAGTAAGCTTTTATTACCTTCGGACCAGTATTGGGTAGTATTAAACTATTAGGTAACAATCAATATAACCTAAGTGTTACTCCTATAAGATGGACTATCTATGCTATATCATATCAATGCTATAAGCCCTAGTTTGTAACATGCAACATCCATTCTATATGTTAGCGTAAACACTTTAGTTGGTCTTCTTCAATGATAATCCCTCCCAAGTGAACTTTGCCACAAGCACGAGCGCCGCGCATGCAAATAACAGGCAACTTCCAAAGATCCACAGATCATCATAGCCGTTGTGCTTCTGAATTGTGCCGCCAATAGGTGCACCAATTAGTATACCAATTGCACAGAAAAAGAAAGCCTGGCCCAGACGTGTACCAATCTTGTGTTTAGCATTGCCGCTTATGTAGATGATAACCGTCGAAGGCAGTGAGACAAAGGTTCCAGAAAAGAAACCATAGAACGCCATGAGGACGATAATTCCGGCCGGGGCTGTGACGGTCATGAAGAGTATGCAGAGAATCGCAGACATGAGTATGCATGGTATCATGACATTGAACGGGCCAATCTTATCCGACAGGAGATTCGGCAGAATACCTAAAACTTGGTGTCAGCAAAATGATGCAAAGTGTTGAAGAGAGTTTTACTAACGGCCAAAGAGCGAAGTGCTGTTCAAAATGGCGATGAGATAGAATCCCAGATCCTCATTCGTAATCTTTTCCGTAATTGCAAATATTTGGCCAAAAACCAAGGGTACATTGAGACCCGCAAAACCCAATAGGAAGCCCAAAGTTATGAAGGTGTATGCGGGGATCAAGAAGGCCTTGAAATCGAATAGGGTCCGTGTTTGAGGGGGAAGCACGCGGACGCGCATGACGAGGTTGGGGACAATCAGTGTGCCTAGCATCATGAAGCCGAGCACACGAGTGGCCCATGCGAATCCGATCTTTGGGAGAAGCTTATGCAAGACGATTGGATAGATGACACCTCCCAGTGATGACCCTGAAGCCGCAATGCCGATGGCGGCCCCGATCCTGGTAGAGAAGTAGGTCGAAAGGATAGCGACACTCGGAACGTAAACCAAACCTGCGCCGATGCCGACGCAGAAGGCTTGAGCTAGTAAGACTTGCCAGTAGGCATGGCACAGTGACAGCATCATGTGGCCGAAGACGATCATAAATGATCCGACGAGCAAAAGGGCGCGGAGGTATCCGGCATCGTAGATGGGTCCGGCGAGGGTTCCTGTTACCAGCATAAGGTAGGCTTGGACAGATCCAATCCAGGCAATGGTGGATGAATTAGAACTCCGGAGTAGAGTCGTCTCGTAATATGCCTGATATGATCCAAATGTGTTGGTGATACCCCTGATCTGGAGTTAGCACATGATTTTATGGTCCCAGTGCAAGAGTTGTCTCGTACCATGAATTGAATGTGAGGAAGAATGCACCAAAGACTTGCAACCAAGCCAGAGTACCGCCATTGGGTGGTGGAGAGGCGGCATTCGCGGTAGGCTGCTTTGGCTGTGCAGCCTCCAGCGCCACTCCACTCTCATCAGGTGTTGTTACGCCCTCGCCAGGCGGTTGCTCCTTCGCTGAAGGATCAAGGAAATCTTGGGCCATGTTTGACGAAGAGGATGATGAGGACGACGGCTGGTTTGCTTTCTCGTCAGAAGGCAACATAGGACGTGCTGAGGCCATGTTTGATTTGTCACAGAAACTATTAAACATTAGCCCAGTGTTCAAGGCTTGAGGTGTTGCGGAAAAAAACGTCTTACTTCTCTATACGAATCGGCACCTGAAAAGGGCAGAGACTGGATAGTATGCTGTGAGTGGGAATATCACGGCAGGGAAGCTAAAAGTATAGCTAGGAAAAGTGAAAGTAATTAAAATGAGAGATATCTCTAGATCTTCAATGACATCTACTGTAGAGTGTACAGATCGGTAGGGAAATCCAGATCGAAGAAAATATATAGCACCATCAAATGAAAATATGGTTATCTACCTCTATTCATGAGCATAGCGTGCATTTCTCCGATCTTGGGAAGATCATGCTCCGATCGGATCCGGCTTCTTTGTTATTGTAACAGTGACCCCGAATACCAGAGTTCTCGAATGCAGTTTCTTCCAAAAGCAGTGGAGCATGTCCGAACCGAATGATATCCCCGACTATAGCATGGCGATTATTGGTGGCGTTTAGAAGAGATTTGCCATGATCGTCGTAAGTAACCACCCAGTCCTCCGAGATCCGATGGCCGATGGCCGAAGCGCAGTGTTTATCTCCGAGATGTAGAATTTACGCCTATGACGCTTATTACATAGATTAAAGTGAATTAGACTAGCTGCAGACATTGACCAGCGGTCTGGAATACTGGGCACAATAGTTTTCCTTTCATGCACACAACTTCCGCGGGCCTCCCATCAAAGGCGCAAATTTGAATTGGCGAAACTCGTAAACTCTTCGTACACGACATGCTTCCGGATCTTTGAGAGAAACAGGATACTTGATGGCTTAACATGTATTATCGTTCTACTCCCTTTCTTCTGGTGTGTTCCTAGTACTGCATCCTCTGCCCTAAACCCGAATACAAAAAGAGTGGATACAAGGGGGAGGGGAGAGTGCGTAAAATTCAGAGTGAGACTAAACAACCTATCAAGTAATTCCAGTCAATACTATGAGCGGACACGAAAGATGGAAGATGTCAACGATTGGGAAGCGAAGCTAACACCTAAAACTACTCGTCATCCACAGTTCGCCCACCAACATCGACCCTTCCAAACAGAATGCAACAGACCAATCGAATGAATCTCTCAGTGTGGAGACTTATGTGAATTTGAACAAAGGAAACTCTATTGACCAAATCAATCTACAGAACCGAACCAATGGATCCATCAGACTCCATACATGCCATTCAAGCCGAACTCCATCCAGCGATCCAACCCGTTCTTCAAGGAATCCGAACTCATTCTCATCTGACCTTACCTAGCTACACCAGACTAATCTCTCACACTACACCGCTGGACTACAAAACTCCAGTTCCCCTTAGCTAAACCTTCCTGCGCCTCAGAAGCAAAGAATTGCTCGGATTCGGCATGACCTGCCTATCCACCTGAAGCGGCTCGTACCTCTCTTTCCGCCCATCTGGCATCACAATATCATAATCCATAATCATCCTAACCAGAACCATCTTGATTTCATTGGCGGCGAAGAAGCGCCCCGGGCACGCATGCTTGCCATAACCAAACAGCATATCGCGTTCATTCGCCGAGACAAACTGCGAGCGTGCTAGCTCGCCCGTACCCGCATTCTCTCGCATTTTGTAGAAGCGGAAGCCGTCGAATTCGTTGGGGTTGGTGAAGATGGCGGGGTCGAAGCTTACGGCGTCGGAGGGGACTTCGATTATCACGCCGGCGGGGATGTGTTGGCCGTTGGAGAGGATGAAGGGTTTGTGGACGTAGCGGGCGAAAGAAGCTGCAATGTTGGTTAAGTTTTGTTTTGCTATCATCATACTGGTTCTTAGGGGGGCGGGGGGGCTGGGGGAAGGGAAAACTTACTGATGCTAAAAGGGTACCAGCGGCCTACCTCCTTGATAAAGGAGTCTAGCTTGACTAGTTGCTGAAGAGCGCGTGGTGTGAGGCTCCCACCATTGCCGTCTAGGACGGTCTGGATCTCCTCACGAAGTGGCTCAAGGTACTCGGGCATCGCCGCGAGACTGAATAGGCTGTTGGTGGCTGTCATGGCGGTAGTGTGGACGGCTGCGACAGTAAGTGTAAGCTGCTGTCGTATCAGTGACGAAATTTCCATAGGGACACCGCTTGATTTGGCACGATCCGTCAACCACTGTAACATGTCGTCGAAATTCTTCCGGTCCGATTCTTGTCTCTGGTGGAGGATAGGCTGGAAGAATTTGGTAGCCCGCTCGTATCTGTTCTGGAGGTGCTGGACCTCGGAGAGGTGAGAGGCTTTGAAGGGGCGAAGCCATTTATTGCAATTCTTGACTGCGAAAGCCGCAGTAGTTGTTTCATTCGTGAAATTGACTGCAATGTCAAGATATTCAGGATCGCGACAATGTTCTGGTCCGACGAACAGGCGGCCAGATACCTGAGCTATAATGTTTGTTACACTTTCGTATATCGTCAGTTTAGTCCAATCCTCGCAAGGAGGCATGAAGCGTTCCATAGCGTTGTCGACCTCGGCAGAAACATGCTCGTTGAGGCGTTCTGTCTTTCAGATAAGCGACAAGTCTGATGCAGTAGTGCGCTCCCATACTTAATGAAGGTGTAAGATCAGCTTTTATACTGTGCATCAATGTGGGAAAGTTAGTTTCGTGTTTGGTATAATGACCTTCAAGCATCTATATAATTTTAGCACCAAACCTGGTCATTTACAAGATAACAGATTCGAACCTTTTTAACAGCTGCAGGAAGATCTACAACATCGTCAGAGAGTTTGTTCAGCTCCGGCAAAAACCTAGGTGGTATGACCACATATTGTATGTCATCATCTGCTGCCATGCGGTAAACGGATCTTGTGAACTACCAGCTTGTGAGTTCTCATCTTTGTAGACGACAGGGATGTATTCACCTGTGTGTATCCTTTGCGATACAGTTCTGTGCAATACTTGAGGAAAAAGGCTCGTTGCTTGTCATTGTTTGTAGAAAGGCCGAACACTGGTAATTTCGATAACTTGAATTGCAGGCTGAGCTTTGGAAGCAGCGCAAGAAACGTAATGACCAGAGCAGATAGTGTAGTGACTTGCGCGATGAGGGCCGACTCTGAGAAGATTTGGCTATCCATGATGAAGGAGATGAAGATGTATCGAATAAGAGAAACACTGGTATCGTCATAGTCGTGGCTTGTACTTGTAATACATATCTTAAATGAAACATCGCTGCTGTGTCTCCCGGACCCCGGACATCTCGGCCTCCACGGCATGAATCGGCTTGCGGTCCGATAAGTTGTTGTCGGCATACAAGGATGTTCATCATTCAAGGATAGACGTTAGACTAGGCGTATTTGTCTACAAACGACCAGGCTCTTTTGCCACAGGATTCCCATCAATCTAAGGGTATCATTCGAGGCGTATCTAAGAGACCTGGATAGCTAACACCAGAGGGCAGAACAGTGTAGCCCAAATCGACCCCGTGCAATTGGCAGCCCGATAACCACCCTCCCAAAAAAGAACATGAGCTCATTTGTAGACCAGGGAATAATGATCGAGACTTACGCGTTCTAATCGGCTCACACCGCGCAAGCTCTGAATCGGTCAGTGAAGCCGGAAAATCCAGACCACGCGGTCTTGTCTACCAAAACGAGCCACTTTTACTACGTGCATATATGAAATATTAGCACTACTACCATACTACACCCGTTCAAGACTGATTCCGATGAATATACTAACTCTATTTGTACTAGCCATAATAGTTGTGTTACAGTAGGAATACATATACGCAAGCTTCATGAAGTCGGAGCTGGGCGATCTTATCTCCGAATTTATCGGACAACTGAAAGGTAGGTAATTAGGACTTCTAAGCTCCGATGGACTAACACCGAGGCGACCTACATTCATGTGTATATATATGATACCCGTGATCTTATGTTCGTACAAAGATCGCTTTCCCTGCCCCTCTACTCTTTATACTTTGTCGTGACATTCTATCTTTTCCATCTCCTATATTCTATCCATACTACATCACGAGTACTTTCTCAGCATTCAATAGAGAGAAGGTTGGCAGGATGTGAAATAATCTTTTTATGTTTTAAGATACTTGGAGTATTACTACTCCTATCTACACCAGATAGGTAGATGCTTGGATATCATGCAATTATAGACAAGAAAATGCAAACGCCGCGCTCGCTAAATGATCAAAGAGACTGTGTTACAAGACAAGGAAAACCAGAGATGAATAAAGGAAGGAATGCTGAGTTTAAAACGGGTTCGAGCATCATGGTTTTGGTTCTGTGTTGACCGGAGCGTATCCAGCAGGAGTGATGGCCAGGTAGTCTTGATGAGGGGCAGGGTCTGGGCTTAGCGCATGAGGGGTTGTATCTGGTGTGCTGTGTATTGATTCCATGGCGATGCTATGCTGAGAGGCACTGTAGCCTGAGTTGTAAGCATTGAGGGGCTTCAAGTCGTCTGGATGCATGCTCCATCGTGAGGCATTGTTCACTTCAGTGATCCCCACGGTAGTAGCGTCGTGCGGTACATTGTTATACACTGCGCCCGTCTCATGTACGGTCGTGTGTGTACTGTGGTCGTGATCGTGGCCGTGGCCGTGGCCATGTTCGTGTTCCTCGACTTCGAGTGCGTATGGCTGCCCGCTCTTTTTGAGCTGTTTGTTACACCATAAGCAGCTTAGTTTGTCGCATACGAGGATGAAGAAGAGAAGTACCACACAGACTGGCAGAAGAGCTGGCGACTCAATGGCGGCGTAGATCTTGGCGTCGTTGGCCATGAGCGCCAACATTGACGCGCCGACGCAAAAGGCACTCATGCGCGAGATGACGGATGTGTAGTCGAAGAGGTCAGCCCTGTGGCGGCGGATGAGGAATAGGAAAATGACCAGGCACAGGATGAGGATGCAGAAGGAAGTCCAAAAGTACAAGTAAACGAGTTTCCAGGCGTGGAGGCCTACCTCGAGCGGGCTGTGCTTTTCGAGTTTGTCGACTGGGAGCTTCATACCAAGGCCGGTGTACATGCCGTTGCTGATGGCGTAGAACAGGTCCTTGAACGCAGCTGGCCAATTACTATACTTGTTCTCGTCACCAAATGTGTAGTTGTCAGATTTATCAGCCGAGCAGATACTCGTCGTGTTTCCGATTTTCCAGATGGCATTGCGCGCTTCGTAAAAGAAGCTTCTCGTCTCGAGTTTACCATCGAGTTCGTAGTAGTCGAGTAAGTACATGAGTTTGTCTTGGAGCTTTTCGCCATCGAGATTTTCAAGTTGGCAATACTGGGTAATTTTGCCTGAGGCCTTGTTGGTGTTGTTGATGATGTAACGAGCGAGGGCAAGCTGCTGTGAGCCCTCAACTACACCAACGATTGCAATCTGAAGCGGGAAATGCAAAAGACTCCAAATCTGCTGCCGGATGGTTCCGTAGTGGCCGTGTGGGAAGTTGTCAAAGTACCTGATATGGGTGGTCAGTTTGGGAGTTTATGCCTTGTGTTTCAGGATACTCACAGCGCCCAGACTAGGACCAGAACAACAATAATGCACATGATGAGAAAGCATCCCTCGACATCGAGGCCGTGCTTTCCCATGATTCTGGACACGGTCTTTGTAACACCAATGGCGCCTTCGCCAATGACGATGATGGTAAGCAAGCTCATTCGCTCCATGAGATGCGTCTTCTTGAAGCTGAGCATGCGCCAGAAACACGAGATGGCAATGACTAGGAAGGCCTCGGAAACCATGACGACATACCAAACAAGGTAAATGTGTCGCCGATTCTGATTACCCTCGCGAAAAACAGGCGTCATGGCAATAAAGGCACCCATGCTGACTGCATAGATGGCAAACATGAGCATCAGAGGCAGGTAGATTTTGGAATACTTTGCCTTCCAGGTGAAGAATAGGACGACAAGGTATTGAACTGCCAAGAGACCACGGGTTATGACGAGCGTGTAGCACATGATGCGGAAGTTCTGTGGTCAAAAGTCAATAAATGTGCACGGGAATCTCAATAGGGCTGCAGACTGACCGTGTTGTTGCGGGGGGCTTTCTGATTGGCAGGATTAAACTGACTGCCAGCCAGGGCCAAACCAACAAAGGCAATAAACTGGATCGTCTTGCATATACGTTCATACAACGAGTCTCGCGCAAAGCGCACATCGTGCAGCGTAATCTGAAACCAACATGACCACAGAATTCCGAAGAAGCCAATGTATCCCAAGAGGTAGTCCAAGTCTGTGATTGAGTGGTAGGCGGTAAAAGTTGCCAAGTTTGCGACAAAGAACAGGTCGAAGAAGAGCTCGACGCTGTTGGCCTCGTGTCGCTGAGAGAAGACGAGGTTTTCATGGTCAGCACCAACAAGCGGGCTTTCGATAAAGGGCGTGGTCTTGTGTAGCCGCCTCAGGTGCTTTTCAGCGTCGACATCGCGTTTGTGGCCATGGAAACTCCAACCCATGTTGGGAGGCTAGGCAGGAGAGGGAGGGAGAGTGGGGGGGAAAGAGGGGGACAAGGCCCACGGTACGAATGGCTTGCTCGGTGCAAAAGGCCAGCAATGGAGGCGTCGAGTGAGTAGATAGAGCAGATTATGTATGGAAGAAGAGAAAATCGGTGATGGGAGAAACCGAAACTCTAATACCAACATCCGTCAGACTCGCTGGGGCGCCGTGCCACGATTCTTATGTGAATCTTGCCCGTTTCCACGATTACTCCACACGACAGCAATGACCCCTCATGCAGACAGGTAGCGCAAGTCCTATCTTGGGACTGGCCCTAGTATCAGCACTACGGCCGTGGGCCATTTTTTTTTTACCCTCCAGCTCTGCGGGAAAGGTGCTAGTGGCAGTGCATGGTGGCTAGCCGCACGGGCGCGCTGAGATGGGAGCCCCTACCCGCTCGTATGCAGAGACGCAAGCCACCTACAGGCCGAGAGATTGGGCAAGGGCAGGCTGTGGAGCCGGGGGAGCCGTGGGGGAGGACAGGAACAAGAGCCGCAGGCCAATGGGGGGTGCATGTGGGCGAGGCTTGGCCAGCTGGCTTGCTGCCGTGTCGAATGCCGTGTGTTTTTGGATTGTGCGTGTCGTTTAGAAGGGGATCGGAGTGAGAGTGAGAGTGAGAGTCAGCTCCGCCCCCTCCGCTCCCCCGTCAAAAAGGTCCGTCCGTACGCGGGCGACTACTTGGCCAAGGCAGGTCGGGCGGAGCGCCGCCCGCTGCCCTTCTGCCCTGCTGTCCTGCTGTCCTGCTGCCCTGCCTCCACCACCGGACCAAAAAAACTAAAGCCCTCATGTAGCGCAGCCCCATGGCGTTCAGCTAGGGTGGTAGCGACTCTGCTTATGTACACACTTACACACATGCTGTGTAGTTGGTGTGTAGTACATACATGCCGTGTCCATGCTGGCCCTCCGCCATGCGCCCAAAAATATGTGAGTATACGCTGGCATGCTGACTAGCCCACTCTTCAGCTCTGCAAGGCCAATTTAGCACGTTCACTCCCCACGGCCACTCGCAATTACCTACTTACCCACCCCCCCCCCTGTACACGTGCTTGTACATACTTACTTTGGACGTGGACTACTGTGTATGTGCTGACCAGCCCTCTCGTCATCGCCCAGGGCTATCCACAATGTCCTGGTCTGATTTCCCCCATCATCCTTCCCCGATCACATACACAGTACATAAGCAGATGCAAAGTACGTGATTACTGGGTGGCTGCTTCGTTGCCAACCACACTTGTGGCCCCTGAGTCGTGGGCGCGTATGGCCCAGCATAGTGGAACAGCCTCGTGAAAGCTTCTTTCAGTCCTTGGACACTAGTGCCCGCCTGCTATCCAACCACCCTGCGAAGTATCCATCTCTGCAATACTACATGCACCTTTGCTCGGCACCTTTCTCATTGCGATCTTCTTACAAATACCCGTTGCACCGAAATCATCTCAGTCTTTGCTTCCTCCCTCGGGCCACCACGTGGCACCGGGCCGTTGGTCGGGCACGTGATTGCCATCAGCCTCGTCTTCACACTGCTTTCGACGTCACAACATGCACCTGCACGTCCCATGTACACCTTCAATCTCACTCGTGATACTCGAGCCGCTAGCCGCTCGAGGCCGCCATCCCTTCTATTTCTTCTAAAATAGCCCGTACAACGCCGCCAACCCCCAGTATCTGCTTCAAGCACTGCTCAAGCCATGCCAGATTGCTATGTTACATATGGGTTCCATGACTCGTTCACTTTCGTAACAGGCCTGTGCCCTCGTCCGCCTCCTCACCACCACCCTCCTCTTCGTCTTCGTCGTTGTCCTCGTCGGACCATCCTTCGGCCTCTAGCCCTTCACCACGGATGCCAAAACTCAGCACGAAACCGACGAGCGCAATGCCAGCGAAGATGCCAAACGGCAAAACCTCTCCCTTGGGCTTCAACTTTGTCGCAGCCGTAAACAGCGAGCCCGAAACAAATGGCCCTGCTGCTCGTCCGGCAGCAGAGAGCGTCTGTGCAAGGCCGTTGAGCGTCCCGAGAACGTTATGGTTGGGTGCCGAGTTTGTAATCTGCGCTCCGTTAACAAGTGCTACAACCGGTTAGAGTCGTCGCATCAGAGTAACTCACCATAAGAAGCGCAGCCGTCAAGCCGCCGACACCTGCGACTGTCTTGATGACCAATACCACCCCAAGCTCAAACCACAACCATCCTGCGCCCGAGCCAATGCCTTTGTATGGGTTGCTGTCTTTATAGCCCACCCACGGCATCAGTCCAAACGCTGCAATAAACAGACCCAAGCTAACCCTGTATGCCATTTTGTTGCCTAGCTTGCCTCGTAATCGTCCGAATATCCCCACTTGAAATAGTATCGTGATGGCTCCTGCAAATGACAGCGACAAGCCAACTGCTTCTGGCTTTAAGCCGCGCCCGGTCGGTGGTTGCTCCTCGGCGAAAATAGGATATAAGGAATTATAAGAAATGTTGGCTAGTTGAAAGATGAAGTATGTCACCAGCAGCAGCACCGTGTCGCGATTCAAAACCTCCTTTCGTGTAAGCTCTTCGCTGTTGGCGTGCGGAAATAGTGCAGGCGCAGATTCGCCAGACGTGTCCGACACGTCGTCGTCTTCAATATGGTCTTCGTCCTCATCTTCACCTATGCTGCGTAGATGCGGAGAGTCGCGGTCCTTTTGTTGGCCAAACAGGCGCCGTACATAAGTTGGTCGAGTCGAGCTGGTGAATTGCCATATCCATGAGAACAAATTGCCCAGTCTTTTTCCCAGAGGAGGGAGGTTCTTGACTTCCTCTAGGCTTTCTTCCAAAAAGATGATGCACACGACCAAATCGACAGCTAGAACAAGCGCTGAGAAGAGATTTGGTAGGAGATATGGATACGGATTGGCATTGCTGTGAGAAAAGGGGTTCTTGTAGAGAACCAACAAGCCTCCGACAATGGGACCTGTGATACCACCAATGCCGTAGACGACAGGCAGATAGGTGAAGGCGCGCGACTGGTTACTCCGGTCCGTGATTTCGCCTAGGCATGTCGACACAACGCCAGAATTGCCATTGACGAAGCCCATGAGCGCCTGTACGAGTATAGCATGCCACAGCCTTGTGCAGAAGCCGAATAAAAGGAAACAGCACATGGTCATGAAAGTGCCCATGATGATGACGGGCTTGCGCCCAATCTTGTCCGAAAGCCAGCCCCAGAAGAAGTTTGTAGTGAACTGGGCCAAGGCAAACGACGAGGCAATGAGTCCCACGTACAGACCTCCTTGGCCCTGCTTGACTTCGGGGAACGAGGCCGTCATCTCTGGAAGGTATGGGCTGATTGAGTTGAGGGCAGTCTGCTCGGCAAGCGCTATGATGGCCAACACAATAAGCTGTCTGGTCGGCAGGGGCGACTCGTGATGGCTTTGGCCGTCTTGCGAGTCGCGGCCATGGCGGGGGGACGGCGATGTCGAGGGTGGTCGGCCGCGGGTCCTGGGGGGAACTGTGGGAAAAGTCTCGTAGTGGAGCGTGGACCGTCGCGCCTCAATGGCCGGTCGCCTTGACGAAGGCATGACTGGCGGCGCGTGGGCAGGTGGGTGCTACCTCGTGAAGGCAGAGAAGGTGCAGCAAGCCTTGACATGCATCGAGTCTCGAACAGGGATGCAAAGGATGGTACAAGGGTTCATGCCGCCATGACGCGCAGCAAAATAGAGAGTATTAGAGAGAGAGAGAGAGAGAGAGACAGGGAGAGGGTGAGAGAATGAGAGAGTATGGGAGCGTGGGTAGAGTACGTCATCGGTCGTAGGAACATGTCCGTGTGCTTGGCGCGCCAAAAGCCGCAGCTTGCCGCCACACCTCTCCTCTTCCCCAGCCTCGTCACCCACATTCCTTTTGTGTCTCGTGTCGGCCGACTGCATGCGCAACGAGCGCGACCACTCGCCACTCGGCTTCGACCTGTATGCCCCTAGGCCGGCCTTGCATGAACCTGCGTTCCAACGAATGCCATCTTACAATATATTTTAATTTCCCCACGGCTTGGTCAGCCGCACAGCCCATCGACAGATGCTTTGTACATATCTGAAAAGAGCGTCTTTTCCAAGTCAACTTTGTCAACAAGATGATTATTATATGTTGTGAAGCTATCTCCAGCACAGTCACTGATGATTTAGCCAATTATTTTGCCACTGCCCGGTCCCGAGTTAATAGTTCGGCCAAATGCACCTTGTAGCGTAGCGATAACCTACTTGAAGATACCTTCTTTCGGCAAGGCTTGGTGGCCTTGCGAGCACATTAATAAAAACATGCCTGTCTAGAGTACATGAGCATATTACAGAAAAAAAGTGGAGTTGCATAGTCCTCAAGCTATAAAGATGGCCGGCAAGTCTGCAACATTTCGACCAAGCACGAAAGGGTCAGTGGCCAATTATTCAAAAAGTGAGGAAGAAAGAAAGAAAGAAAGAAAGTGAACAAGATGCACTTCTACCAGAATGCCTATCTCGCTGCTGCGACGGTATGCACCCTCATCTCCCCGTGCCTCAGCACTCCCGTCCAACCGCCTATCACAAACACATCAGCACTCCCACTACACTACGGCCTCGTCATCTTCCCCCACTTCCAAGCCCTCGACATCTTCGGCCCCATGGACCTTATCAACTCACTCTTCATGACCTACCGCAACAAAACACAAGAACCCCATCTCTCCATCCTCAGTCGAACCCTGGATCCTGTATCCTCTTCCATGATGCCCGGCGGCTTCGGCGAAGCAATCATGCCAACAAACACGTTTAAACAGTACCTATCAGCCCACGCACCTTCCAACAATACCGCCAACACGTCTGTCGACGGCAAGCCCAACATCGACGTCCTGATTGTACCCGGCGGCGGCGGCACCCGCAACGACATGAGCGAGGAAATCGCCTTTATAGCCGCCACGTTCCCGCGCCTCAAGTACATCATTTCCATCTGCACGGGCGCCTCGCTGCTGTCGCGCGCAGGCGTCCTGCAAGGTCGCCGTGCAACCACCAACAAGCGGAGCTGGGCGTGGGCGACCTCGCACGGCGAAAACATCACGTGGATCCCGACTGCGCGCTGGGTTCAGGACGGCAATGTGTGGTCCAGTAGCGGGGTGTCGGCGGGTATAGATGCCATGTATGCGTTTGTTGGCAACGTGTATGGTAAGGACGTGTCTACCTTTATGAGTCTGAACCTCGAGTATACGAGGGAGTTGCACTGGGATGCGGATCCGTTTGCGGCGGTTTGGGATGTCCCCGGTGCGAAGTAGAGGTATGGGCGACTTTGGTTGCGAATAAGCTGGCCTGGGACATGTATGTCATGCTGGCTAGTTACCGTGTACTTAGGGGTCGGTGTCATATACGCTGTTACCCCTCATGTCTTTTCATGACAGATATATATATATACACGTGTGTGGATAAATAATATAGACTTTGATTCTTCATTGCTTAAGAATATCAGTATGTACAGTCGTCATGTCATTCATTCATACGAAGCCCACTCCCTATCCAAAACGTCCAACTCACGCTTCGCCCATTCATACTTGCTGTCACCTGGCTCAGCATTGCCCAGTCCCCTCAAAATATCCTCTCTCTCCCTAGTATTGGCAACTTGTGCCTTCTTCCTCTCCAAAGCCTTGCGCTTCAAGTATGCAAAATCCTCGTCCTCCACACTACGCATCCATACTGAGCGCATCCGTGGACTCCACAAACAACAGCTTGATCCCGCTTCCGGGTCCTCGCCAGGGACTAGCTGTATGGACTTGTTGAACAAGCGTGGAATCGTAGTGGGCAGGGATTTCGATTGCATGGCAGGCCAGACAAATCGGTCGTAGCATTCCTCGCATACCGTGAATTCAGGGAGCTGAGGAATAAAGTACCATGGCTTCCGAATCAGTATCTTGTCTCTGGCACACTCGCCTTTAAAAGCATAGTCGCGCGCCAGGTCGACAAAACGGTCAATATCCGGTCGGCGGCCAGATATCTGGGCCTCTTCGTCAAGCTCCATTAGAAGCTCCAAGTACTTCATCAGACGACGTGAGCTCATACGGAAGCTGCAAGTGTATCGACTTGGTGCGTTTGAGTAGCCAACAGTGATACGGGGAAAGTAGCCGCGGATGCTGGGGAATAGGGCCTCGGCCAATCTTCGGTCGCTAGAACAAATGGCAAAGTTGGGCACAAACATGCCGTCGCGCTGATTGACAATGCCATACCAACTGGCCTCATTAGTGTCCTTATCTCGATCTCCAGGGCACGGCTTGTACGTGTCCATAATATCTGCCACAGCGCAAAGCAAGTCGAGTGACTTCAGGCGTTGCTTTACAGTGAGATACCACGCAAGGCGCGGCCACGGGTTACTAAAATCACACGCCCGCTTAATTGACCAGTCATCTAACCAGATCTGCTTGAATTCCCCGTCGAATCGAGTCTCAAAGAACACGCTCTTGTAGCAATCAGGACATATGTTGAAATTTTTGAAGCCGCGGAGGCTGTACCAATCGTCGTACTCTCTCGAGGCCTTGCTCCTTGGGCAGTCCGGCAATGATTTGAGGTCCAGAGAAGCAACTCTCCGTAAGGACTTGTCTCTACGACCGTCCTGGGAGCGGATGCTATTCGATCTTGCCCTTCTGGAGAGTCCGGGTTCCTCACGAGTGCTTTGTCTGGAAGGCTGGGCTTGGGAATCTCTGATATACGGAGAGCTAGTAACAGACGGCGAAGAGGATGTGGGGGGCTCTATATAATCTTGTCTTGGAGAAGCGATGGGTGAATGGTTATACTGGTAATTCTGTTCCGGTGGCATCAAGACATCAATGAGCTGATCATCCATAGGATATGGCAAAGTAGAGTGCGAAGAGGATGGTCTCCCGCCTGGCAAGGAACTCTGTACGTCACTGCGTGGTCTTGGAGCCGACGCTGTCTCGTATCTTCCGTATCTGGAAGGCGGTCTTGATCTATCCTGAGCGCGGACAGAGGGAACGCTGGTGTACTGATCGGCCTCGGAAATAGGAAAGCGACCTCGCCCGGGCGAATGAGGATCAAACGTGCTCGAATGAGATAGAGGGGTAGGGGGTTGTCCACCACTTCGAGAAGAAGGGCGCGTTCCAGGTGGTGACTCCTTTAACCGCGTCGGAAGTTGGGATGCGGCCGTTCGTGGCAACGGTGAACTGGGTCTGGACTGGGACCGCGGACTGTTGGCGTAGGCAGTATCAACGGGAACGGGCCTTGACTTTTTTGCGCTATTGTTCAAGGAAGAAGCGGATGATCTTGGAGATTGGGCATACAGATTTTCCTTTGAAGAGTTGGACGAGTATTCCTTCCGCAGAGTCGGTACCGAACGATCCCCAGAGTCGCGTCTTGTCGATTCCGGTCGATGCTGCGTGTCCCGTAAATTTGTTCTCAAAGCTTCTCTTTGCAGATCGGTTTGCACGAAGCTGTAGCGTGCCGGTTTCCGGTCTGCTCGTAGGTGGGTATTGCTATCGGTCTCTGAGTCTGAGTCAAAGACACGATCTTTTTCTGTCGGCCGAGAGTTTGCAAGAGAGTTGTGACGGCTGTTACCCGGTCGAGACGTTGGCGATTTACCATGGGAATGCCGTTGTGCGTCTTGGTCAACTCGGCCCATGTCTAGTGTAGCGAAACGGCTGTCGGATGGGGTCATGGGTTCTGGCGAACGCAGAAAGTCGGTCGGTATAGGAGCAGTCGATTCCTTCTGTGATTGTGAGTAGCCATAAGGCATCCTCTCTCGTTCTGTAAACAAAGGCGGGTCTGGGACATCGGTGTTGATATTCGTTATGGGGCCACGGTCTGCGAAGTTCCTCCTCTGACGATCTCGATGGGGGTTGGATCGTGTTGTCGCATCAGGACCTGTGGCGGATCCGGAGTTATGCCTCGAGCGGCGGTCATCACCTTGTGCAGCACTGGGCTGCTCGATCTCGTCCAATATGTACTCCTGGTCGACGGTACCCCGCGTGTTGACGGGCGGCTCACCATCATCACGCCTTTGTGCTGGCGAAGGCGGTTGTGTCCGAGCCTCTTTGGCCAGGGCTTCTGGCTCGTCCTCTACACTAGGCGGAGGTGGCCATGATTCCTTTCGTCTGTGTGACCTGTATGATTGCGAGGCGGATCGTCTGGGACGGGATGTGCGGGGCTCGTAGGAGGGGTAGGAAGTAGTATAGGGATTACTGGCGCGCATGTCTGTTAGTTCCCTGCGGGCGTCGGCGAGGGTGGCTTCGTGCCGCGAGTAGGCATATGCGTCTGCATCGCGCGGCGATGTATAATAAGAATCATGGCGTGGGTGCTCGTAATAGCGACTGTCGTATCCGTAAGACATGAATGGTGAACGTGAGAGGAGAGGTCAGACGAGCAAGGTGAGAGTGGCGCCTGCCGCGTGCATTGATTCCGAGTGTAGCAGCGTAGACGAGGGTAGTGCAGCTTGGAGAGCAACGGGGGTAGAGGTGGAGGTGGAGGTGGAGGAGACAGAGGTGTTGCACAACGCAGCAGTAGCCGACATGTTGGACGGATGCTCAACACTGCTGGGTGACGCATAGGGCCCAGCGTGAATTGTGGGTCATGGCTGCTTCGATACGCAGCGGACCCTATCGTCAGCCCACGCTCATTTGCTCGCTTCGCCGGCCCCGCCCCCAAGGCGGCGGCGCATGCCGGCGACCACGTTTACTGCCACTTGATGCGTTCATCGTGGCCACTCGGTAAGCAAGGCCATTACATACATACATACGACGTACATCCGGTGAGCCTGTTCGGGGTAACAGGTAAGACTAGACTTTGAAAGACGGTGGGCACAAGGCAAACAGGGTACTACATGGGACTGCTATTGAGTCGTGTCCTTGCATCTGTGCACAAGCATGAAACTTTTCTTCTGTTATTTAGATAAGCTTAAATACACGTTAATCTTCGTTCTCACATGTTTTGTTATGTGGACTATGTAAAATCTCTTACTACGTGGCCGTGCCTCCTCGGTCGCGCGACAGTATAGCTTGAAATAAGAAGGGAACATTGCACATCATCTATCAAAGAAGCTTCCGTGGATGATGTCGGATACATTTTTGGGGGGGGAAGGGGGGAAGGCCAAGAAGCGGTAATTGGGTATCAAAAAGAAGTCATATCGAATGGAAGAAGGGCGTAACAAGAGGAGGGGTTGTGGAAAGGCTTCGCCGTAGAAATGTATGGTGTGCTCAGAAGAAGTTGCCCTCGGGAATAGCACAAAAGATACCGACAGCCACGCCAGAAATGAGGAGGGCACCGAGAATGGCTTGGATGAAGATGGTATCCTGAATCTGGCGAAGAGCAGGCTCCTGGATCCAGACCTCACGGTCAAAGACCTTGCGAACAAGGTTGCGCTTTTCGTAGCGTGCAACCCATGGCTCATCTTCGTAAGAATTGCTGGATGCGTGAGATTCTACGCTCTGCGAAGACTCAGATTTGATCTCTTCGGCCTGCAGTTCATCGTCGGACGCAAAAAGCTCCCACGGTCGGAGATGTCGGTGATGCATGCCGTGAAGGACCACACACATGCCTTTCCAGGCTGCAATCAGGGTAGAGATGCCGATGAGGAAACCAATCAACGCCATGACACGCCATGCACGACCAGCGCCACTGAGAGTGAGAACGATGGCAGTAACGAGACCGGCGACAATGCCACCGATACCGAGACCACGTGCGAAGATGACACGGGGACGGTTGCCGTTGCAGATGGTCCAGCGAATAAAGCTGGGATGTGCCTGGCAACGAAGCGACCATTCGACAGATGTGATGACCTCGTGAAAGGCCGATGGATGTGTCGTGTTTTGGAGAGCATGCAGCAGAGAAGTGTGCTCCTTGGACGAGAGGTTTAGCTGGCGCGGACCATTGTCGGCAATGTAGATGGAGATGATGCGATTGATCTCTTCGCGGTAGGGCTGAATGGAGACTGCGGGGGATGAGCGAGTGGATCCTAGAAAGACGAAGAGAAGAATCAGTAAAGGCTATACTCACGTGGTTTCCATTTGAGGCCGGCATTATCAAACGCACCAGCAGCACGCTGGGCATGATTAATCTTGAAGCCAGGGCTGCTCTCACTGTCGAAGTTGAGAGAGCCGGCAGCCGCTTGGTCGAAGCTGTTAGGGGTGCGAGGCGGCGTGTTGAAAGGATCACTAGCAGCCTTGTCAGATTCAGCACGGCGGCCTTCGGTGGCGAAATCGGTGCCTTTGAGCATGTTGGCCGCCTCATTACTATAGAGTCGCGGGCTGGGCTTTGGGTCATTGGCATTGTTAGTCTCACCGGTCCATTCAGGCGACAAGACCCTCTCGCTTTCTGGCAGGGCATTGAAGCGCTTGACGTAATCGCGGTACCAGAGGAAGAATTGTAGATTCTCGGCAGACAGCTCAATGTATTTGAGGAAGTTCATGAAATCACGAACGGTGCAAGGCTGATGATGTAAGAAGTTAGTGAGGGTAGTCGAGCAGAGGATGTTAGGTAGGATGTTGGGATAGGGCGGCAGCGTGATGGACCACACATGCAAGTATGCAAAGGAAGGTGCGATGGGCAAGACGTACCGGGCAAGTGCCACCAGCGACAATGTTATCAAACGACAGGGCTTCGGGAATGCCATTGGACATGCCGCTCGAGCCAGACTTGATGGATCCGCGAATTGTCTCGCGCTTGGTGTCATTGGAGATGGTAGATGCATTGTCGGCAACACTGGCACGGCCTGGCCGGCGATACAACAGTGAAAAGACCATGGTGGGCCTGAGACAATGTGAGGAGGTGTATGTGTGTATGAGTGAATGTGGGTAATGAAAACAAAGAGACGGGGAGGAGAAGAGTCAGAGGGAGGCAGAGGCAGAGGCAGAGGCCAAGAGCGGTTGAGCAGTTGAGCGGGCCAGACGGGACGATGTGAGGGGAAGGAGGAGGAGTATATGTATACAAGGGCGTGGGCATCTACTCGATAGGTATGTAAGCGTGCAGATATGGTGAGAGAAGAGTAGATGGTAGTAGCGTCAAGATGCAATTCCAGCAGGGGTGGTGGGTGGTGGGTGGTTTCCCGCAGACAGGCACATGGCCAAGTCCCGCCGACCACAAGGCCAGCTGAGGCAGCCACCAGTGTTGCACGGTTGCGACGGCTATCGGCTAGCGGTGCAGGGACGCGATATTGGCGACGACGATGGAGCGGCTATGTGGGCAGGACCCGTGTCGATCGCCCAGGCCTTGTCTTCTAGCTACACCAAGTAAGTAGACATGGCCACCATGACTAGTACTTTGCCTAGCGATCCTCGGGCCTTTTCGCAGCAGTTACTACATACATGGTTATATTAGAGTGCTGTGGACGTGCGGCCGTACCATGCTCGTAACCACCGAGAGACGTGGTATACATACGTACCCACATGTCGACATGTCGAGACGGCCCGGCTAGCGCCCAAAATAACCAGACGACGTTGGGAAATGAAGATGCGACAGAGGATGCCGTGACAGCGACGGCCGCCACAGGCAATGCGCCGGCGCAACGCTCGCAAGCGCAGCAAAAAAGGCGAAAGAGGCGAAAAAGACCCAGTTGTCAAGCTGTGGACAAGCCGTGGACAAGCCATGGTCAAGCCCAAAGTCAACAACAGTGACGTTGTTTCAGACAGCCACACGCAGCACCCGGCAGATGCCGCCGTCTGATTGGCTACCGGATGACGCGTCTACAGCCAATCAGAGCAGCCTCTATCGTCACCATGCATGTTCCTGCGACTATCTTATCCGTGTGTGCGAACACACATACTACATCCTACATAGACATACATGTCCATGCATCTGCTGCATACACAGTCGCCATATTCCTAACGCGTCTTCACAGCCCAGCAAACTACGTTGCATATACTAATCTATCATACATCCATACTCCTCTACCCGCCTGGGTGGTGGCGCTCCCCCCCTCCACCGACCCCAATGCCAGCGACAGCGCCAGCGACAACACCAGCTCCGGACGCTTTCCGTAAGCCGGCCGATTGGTCTACTGCGTCTCCCAACTAGCGGCACAAAGTCAAACTGCCTCCCTCCCTCCCTGCCTACCTATCTACCTACCGACCTTCCAAAAACCCACCTCTTGGTTCTTGGTAGCTCTCCCCTTTTCTCCACCATCTCACGGCAAAGTCTGCCGCTCTGGGCAGTACAGTAGACGCAGTTGCGTTACCACAAGACCCCAAGCCTGACCCGTGCCGTGTTCCCTGACACCCGTCAGAACCATTGCCACGGTTTCGCCTGGCTCACCACATGCCGCCAACACCACGCCCCCCACATCACGTGCCATGTACAAGTCTGGCTCCGCAAACTTTGGCAATTACTTTTCGCTTTCGCATATCCACCACCTTCTCCCCACCATCCAAGCTTGTACCTATTCATGCCTCCAAACACCCGCCGGCCCCCCTTCCCACTAGTGAGAACCTCGGCCTCGGGTAAAGTTTTCATCTAGTGCGAATCGCTTCTGCTTCGCCGACTGGACCATGGATGCACATGCGCTAAGGTACATCTAGCTGTTCCATGGCTTCCTTCACCAGCTCCTGTGCTTGCCCCCCTCCCCTTCATCACTCAGCCGCATCCTCGTTGACGTTTCTTTTTTTTTCTCTTGGCTAACGTCCTGCGGCTTTCGGGACCCTGGCCCACCATGGTATCGATCCAGATCCAAAATCTGCGACTGAAGCGGCCATCGCCCCTACTCGTGTGCTCCCCTACCCATGTGATTTCTAAAACCAAACACAATCGTGGGTTCCTGGGGACCCACTTTGCATCGACTTGGCAATCTCCATCGCCGGCCGCATCTTCCTTCAAGGTCGTTGCATGCATACCGCTGCACGCACCCCTGGTCGTCATCTCCTGCCAAACAAATCTCTGTAAAGAAGACCATGTTTGCTTTTGATCCAAAAAAATGGGGCGCTTAGGCGAGAATCATTCATCCCTGCCGCACACCCGCGTTGTGCATGCGGATGAACACGTTGTCGGCTAATCACTTTGCATCGAAATCATATGCCTTCATCTCCCAGCCGTGCAAACTTCACCAACACGCCCCACCGCCAGCAATGGTCCGTTTGGGGAATGCAGTTGCGAGATGATTACTTAGCCGTCAATTGTCCTCTTTACCGATGACGCGTAGATATATGCACACCATGCCATAAGGCAAAAGTTGACTTTGCAAACGAGCCTTCACACTGCCCCTGTAGCCCTGGCCAAGGTTCGGGCTGCGCCTAGGCCATGGTCTTTGCTGCTGCGTTTAGCGATGGCCTGAGCCAGTTACCACGGTGAGGCAACAATTTTAGCACACTAGTAGTATCACGTACGCTTGACAAGTGCTGCGCCATCCACTGTGTCCAACAACCAAACCCCGCCCTTTTAACCCGCCTCTGTTTCCCTGCTAGGTTGGCAAACGCAGATAGTTGCTGAAGCAGATTTTGTATAATGAAATTTGAAAACCATGCAACACCAGATTGTACCAAACAAGAGCCATGCACGCAAAGAAAGGACAGTACGGTTGTAACAAACCATTTGTCTCATCATAGTCACCCAATACCTTCCGCTCCAAGCAGTCTTCATATTGCGGCTTCCCAGTAGACACTTGACTATACCTGCTCCACGTCTGTCACTCTCATGGACTTCTCCGGTATTGAATTGCATTTCCGTACGCCACGACTAGGCTTCCAAGTCTTCCATTACTCGAACGACATCTCCAACCCCCGCGCCCTGCCCTTGGCACATAACATTGGAATCTTTGACAGTCTCGAGCAAGCCCAATATGCAGCCCAAAGCGAGTTGGTACGCGTCTTGGAACTCTATCTCAGCCAAGGGCACTCCGGTCGTTGTTTTCGCGACATGAATTTGAGTCTGCGTGGCCTCATCACGACGTACGTGGACAACTTGAATGACGCCAGACAGTTGATTCGGCGCGAGTTCATTTTGAGCGAATTCCATATTGTGAAAGTCGACGTCTGGGACCCACCGTGGGCCGTTCGGGCTCGGAGGGCCGTTCATGAGAGCAATGTGCAAGCACATCAAGTAATCATGCCAATACGTGAACCATCTACGCAAAAACATCTTTTGGAAATCAATCCAAGATTTGTTCAGCACGAGGAAGAGCGTTCGCCAGAATGGGCGAGATCTCGTATCCCACTATTTGCTCGTCGAGACGAAGGGCCCTTGCGTCGACCAGGCGATAAGCCCTACACAGTACGAATGGGCTTTTCGCCACCAAAGCGAATGCCTGCTATTCGGTCCATGTCAGAGCAGTCAGTCAAACCCCTGAATAGTGAGCTTTTGCGAAGAAACAGCTTGTGAGCTTGAAATGGACTATCGGTTCAGTATCAGGCAATGAGAATGAATTGTCATAGTTGATTTGATTTGGCGAGTCATCAGGGAATGACCTTAGTCTTCTTTCCCTCGCGTTACTCAAAATTATAGATAGCCCTTCTTCTTTTTCGTGTTCTAGTATCCTGCTGATCATTGCATAACTACTATGTTCAGCTCAAACAAAGATCTCCTATTGCCATGTCACATGATCATATATGTAAGAAGCGCTCAAGCTACCATTCCATTTATTTATTTTTTTGTTATGTATGATGTGCATGTGGGTAGAGTACCTAAACACACACACATACATACACACATAGCCTTAAGAAGCAAGTGCCCACATCGCGGGTACACGACAGGGGTACGCCGCGACGATCCAAAAGCAACCATCTTGTCTCGGTAAGACACCGATCAGCCCTGTGTCGAGATAACGATCTTCATCGGATCTATCCACTAGTATCCTTTCCCCTCCGTTGCTTCTTTCCGTACTTTCTTATCTCTACCAAAGTGGTGTGCAAATCAGTTCTTGAGTATCCAACTCACGATGCGCTTTCCATCACATGAGCAGTAAAAGAAAATGTTTCTCGGGATGGGAAACAGCCGGGGAAAGATGTGCAGATGTTGGCTTTGAGGATGGGAGTGGAAATATGTCATACATTCAACTACTAGAGTCTGATGCGACTTGGTAGATGATTTTGTGATCAAAACGCAGTAAAAGCCTATGTTTGCAGGATTGGACTTGAATCTATTCCACACTGCCTGTTGCTATATTTCGATTCAGGCTTTGGTGAAATACTTACCAAGAAGGAGAGCATGTAACAACATACTATAACACCTTTACTCAGAGCTGGTGGATAGTACCTGATCCTCACCGAAGATTAACAAGGAGTTCCTAGTCTTCTTTGCAACACCAAGTCAACGGGCGCGACACGCCAGCGCAGAATACACAATCATAATAACAAACAAGGAAGTCAGCTGTGTAACAACTCGCCCCCAGTAAGCGCAAAACGATTGGCGACGAAGGGTTCAACAGCAACACACTCGATCTTGGTCCTTTCGTCCCAAAACAGCCTAGTTACTCCATGTACACGTGGTAGTGCCAGTCCAGTGATCAGACTCACCGCTCAGCATCATATCTCCACCATCGCTGTTCGCATGTCCATCAGACTTTGTAACGATCTGATCATCCCTAGTAGCGCAAAAGCTAGTACGCCAATCAAAATGCTTAGAAACACGAGGCGCTGCAAAAGCGATAGGAACGCTATGTTTCGAGTTTCCAACCTTGCCCAGCACATCCTTACAATCACAATGACTGTTGCAAAGATGACTCTTATCGTCCGCGTACGCTTACTTCTCGAACTAACAGGGCAATGCTGAGTACCATGTCTTTTCTCTAGACCGCCAGTATCCCCCCCCCCCTCCTCAGGTAGTTGAATATTTTCATGTGAAAGACTCTTGCTATACATATCATACACTTCACACCTTTGCTTTTCATACTCATTACACACTCGCACAATACCCATATCAATTTTTTTTTGTAAAAATCTTCTCAATCTCAAAAATTTTACAATTTGTAACATGCCCATCATGCCACCCACCGTCATCACAGCCATCCAGCAGTATCTCCGCTGGGACGCGGAAATCAAACGGCAAATCGACGGCAAAACACGCGCGAGAACGTGCTCGATTACACGACGCACGGTTTCGAATGCTATGAAAGATCAAGAGGCGGTGGCGTGGCGATGAGGATATACCAAGGGCGATTCGGCTTCGAGTGTACGGTTGGGGGGGGGGGGGGGGAAGAGATTTGGGGAGTGCATAGTGAGAATGTCAAAAAGGGAACTGGAGTTATGAGAAATGATTGCATGAATATGGGCAATCAATAAGAAAGGCATAGACAACGACATTGGAGTATAGACTGGCCAGGAGGATTTGATTCAAAGCGCTGAAACCTAGATACCCTCTACAACAAACACAACATCTACACCACCTTCTTCTGACCAACCCTCGCTATCCTCTTCTCCGTCCCCAGCAAGCCCCCTAAGATACTAATACCCATCTGCACGAGCGTGACAACGAACCTCACAAAATAATCCTTCCACTTCAACACGGGCTTCCTGCCCCTCATAAACTTTGCATCTACCACTTCCCACCCGGCCTTCCCACCAAGCTTCTCTCCAACCTGCAACCCGCTTCGGCACCCGTCTTCGTGGAATCCGTAGCCCGTCCACGCGCCGGCGTACCAAATACCGCGCTTACCCTGAATCTCGTCAAGGCGGTCTTGTGCAAATACCATACGCGAATTGTATAGGGGATGGCGGTACTGGTATGTTGCCTGGGTGAGAGCAGGGGAAGGAGGCGAGGATGGATTGAGAGTTACGAGTACGGATGAAAAGGTCTCCCGCGAGATGTGTTGGAGAGTGTTCATGTCGTAAGTCAAGCAGACGGACTCAATGTTACCGGAAGATGAGTCTAGATTTGGGTTTTTTGGTGGGTTGGACGCGGAAGTTGTGAGGTAGTTCCATGCGGACCAGGCTGTGCGGCGTTGGGGCATGAGCTAGAAATTATTAGTCGTTATCTTCTATATACCACCATCAACCGACTTACTGAGAGGTCAGAGTGCAGATATGCGGTATTGGGTGTTGTTTCGAAGGCGTCTAAGATTTCCTTCTCTTTTTCGGTTGCATCATCTCCCAGCATCCATCTTGCTTGATCTCCGTGGCAGGCCAACACAACTTCGTCGAATATCTCCGTCTGGCCCTCTCCCCTTCCTCCCAATGTCAATTCGACTTTCTGGTCCTTACTCTTTACAGCCAGGACAGGCGTTCCAAGGTGGCCTTCGCAGTTACCAGCTAGCTCCAGCACAGCGTCAATGTACTTGCTGGATCCGCCTTCGACAGTCAACCAGGGCGGCCTTTCAGCGATAGTGCTAAGGAGGTGATGGTTCCACATGAAGCGCACAAGCGTCAGTGCAGGAAATTCCAGAGCACATTTGTCAGCGCCAGTACTCCATACGCATGCGGTCATTGGGATCAGGTAGTCGTCCCTAAAGGCATCTGAGTAGCCCTCTTGGTCTAGATACTCTCCAATGCTCATCTTGGTGGCGGCAATGGCAGCTGGAGAGCCTGGAGTGATTGAAAGCAAGTCGAGAGCAAACTGGTTGAAGCGGACAATATCGAAGATCATGCGCCAGAAGGATGGTTTGAGTGCATTGGATGGCTGAGCGAAGAGCGTACTGCCCGATGTGCCGGACCATTCAAAAGCACCTGCATCGCGGGAGACGCCAAAAGTCATTAGAGATGGTACAGTTTTTACGCGCAGAGTGGAGAGAAACTTGATAAAGTTTGCTATTGTCTGTCAACTTCAATTCGGGTGGCAGGATATGTGGGAAGAGACGAACGGTAGGTAGCCGTGTTCAAAACGATGAAGCCAGTATCAACAGGCGTGCTTTTGCCGTTGTGCTTCCACATCACCGTGTTTGTGTGGCCGCCCAGTCGCTCCTCTTTTTCAAAAAGATGTACTTCATGCTGGGTATCGCGGAGGGCAAACAGAGCACTCAGGCCAGATATGCCGCTACCGACAATGGCTATACGCTTTTTTCCCACCTCGCTGCTCATGGTGAACTAGTGCGGAGGCGCAATGGTTACACGAGCAGGCTAGAATTCAATGCTGGGTGGATGTACCACAATGACAAAAGACAACTGGCAGAGCGAGTATGAGCTTCGGAAGATATGTGACTCATGAGGTCATGGATGTTGAAGCTAGGCCCGTCGCTGCAAGTACATGACTAATGCCGCCGCTGCTCGTTTCACACATTCCACCGTCAACTGAGCCATGGTGCAGTACAATGTGGTGTTGCATGCGTGTAGCATATTTCCCTGAGACTAGATTGTCATTGGTGCCCAGGTTGGACCTACGTAATTAGCCCTCTGGAAAAAAAGATGGAGTGGGCCGCTGATCCTACTAAACAGTGGCCCCACCCGGTTGCGATGATTATGTAGGGAAGACGCGGTTTCTAGGCTTGGTGAGCGCATGCTGGGCATTTGAGACATTCAGAGCCGCAACATGTTGCGCGGTGCGGCCTTGTGTGTGAGGAAGTGCGGACCATGCCGACGACATGTTCAAGACGCGGATTGGTACTGGAAAAGCAACCATGAGCATAAACTGACGCGACCGTGTTGGCGACTGGGAATGACCAGAAGCATCTCCCATATACCTCTACAACACCTGGATAGACAATGAGTGCAAGCAGGACATTCAGGCACAGTTGCGGTTCACGTGACATGGCAGGGATGGCCTTGGCAACTGCGTAATGGCCGCATGAGCTCTGGAGTATCGGCTCGACGCCTCATTCCCTTGCACATCGACCAACAACTACACGCCCATACGCATACGTATACCTCCTACACACCTCCGTATAGACAAATCCCGATAGTGAAACCATGTCTAACCTCATCGATGCCGACGCGGGCACCGAGCGCTTCAGCGGCTATGAAGCCGAACTCAAGCTGGTACAAGCCGACCTCAGCCAGCAGATAGACCAGATCAAAGAAACGACGGGCGAGCCCAGAAAGGCCGCCATCAGTAGGGCAGAGCGTGCGCTCGAGGAGGCCGAGGAGCTGGTGAGTTCCAGCCTGGAGACATCGCACATGCGGAACAAGGCATATGGCTTGATGTAGCGACAACATGTACAAAGAACACAGCGCTCACAAGACTCTCGTCCAGATTGGCCAGATGCGCCTCGAAAAGTCCAACATTCCCGCCAACCTGAAGTCCAAGTATAACGCGCGCTTTCGCAATTTTGAGCACGACCTCGATACCAGCAAGCGCAAGCTGCAAACGTACACCTCGGACCGCTCTAGGCTCTTTGGCGACCGCTACACCGACAACCCTGATGGCGGCGACGCCCAACTCGAGCAGCGCCAGCAACTCCTTTCTGGCACAGATCGCTTGAACAGGTCGAGCAACAGGCTGAGGGAGAGCCAGCGCATTGCGCTCGAGACGGAGCAGATTGGCGCCAGTACCCTCGGCGACTTGCACAGACAGAGGGAGCAAATCACGAACACAAGGGAGAGGCTGCTCGAGAGCGAGGGATATACCGATCGGAGTATCAAAACTCTGAGGGGCATGGCGAGACGGTATGTATAACCCCCCTGATCACCCCGTCCATCTCCCCACATCTAGAACCCCTGGTTGATAGGGAGGTCCAGATGGATGCCCTTTTGATTTGCGCAACCAAGAGATACTAACCATGTTTCCCACTGCAGGATGGCCACGAACCGCATCATTACCATTGCCATTATAACCGTCCTGGTGCTGCTCATCATCGCCGTCATTTACAGCAAGTTCAGATGAGCGCAACCCGCACTCCTCATCCCCCTTCTAGCTACGATTGCGTGACTTGTTTCCTGTTTGGCGTTTGGAGCAAACAACTGTGTATATTACATGGGGCCACTTTTCTCGTTAGGAGAAAGCGAGAGCCGAGTCATGATAGTTGCGTTCAATGCATTATTACTACTCTTTGCACTGTCTCAATCAAGACTTCTGGCCGTCCTGAGACGTCTGCACTTACTATACCCTCTTGCTTGGTGAACAATAGCCTCATACCAGAGAGACCAAATTGCATTTTTCCAAGGCGCTGCTTGTTTAGGATTGGCCAAATACGTGCCAACCAAGCCACATACTGCCACTGCCACTGCCACAGGCGCGTACGTAACCTCCTTAATTGAGGCACTCATTTGTTACATGATTACACACGCATCTCCCCCCCCCCTCCCCCCACAATTTTTTGCCCAGACGCCCAGCGCTAAACACTAATCCGGCCTTGGTGTTTTTTTCTCTCTCTCTTAGTATCCATGCATTGCTAACTCTGATGCTTGAAACGCCTAGTTTCGTACCGTGAAGCAGAAAGGCCAAGAGAGAGAGAGAGAGACAGAGAGAAAAAAAGTTAAGAGGCAAACACGATGACGTGGTGAAACGGGTGACAGCGCTTGGCTTGCCAAGGGTATGGTGGTGTGAGCGAGCGAGCGAGCGAGAGAATGAGAATGAGGCGTGTCGAGGTCAAACTGGTAGTCTTAATTGGAGAGGGGGGAGGGGGGAAGGGGAAGGTTATAGAATAACATTGTAGTCTATGGTCTCTTTTCCCTTTTGTCAAAAAGGACTTTACTCAAAAACAACAACAACGACAACAACAACAACAAATGGGGCTTGTGAAATGTTGATTCGGTAACTAAAGGGTTTCAAAAAAAAGGGGGGGTCCAGATGAAGACACGAGTTACGATTTGAGTGCGGGATTTATTAAAAACAAACGACTTTATTATTATTGGGTGGTATGACTTCATTACTAGGTCTTTGAAGAGGCTGCCTACACACCGCGCTTCCTGATTACCCTATAGCTTATCGCAGAAGGGGGAGGGGAAGAGCGGTGGTACAAGCAGCTACGCAGCTATGGGGCGAAAAATCACGGTCCCTCTTGGGGAGCGTCGCAGATTTTTTTTTTTGCAGCGCGCGTAATTACAAGAAGACCTGTTCTTTCAAGGTGACTGGCTCGTGGCTTTCCTAATATGTACATAGCGAGCGTGTGTATGGATGGTTTCCCTGTGATTATGGACGATCACTCTTTGGTTTTCTTAGTTTCCTCCTTCTCATGTTCAGTCATTTACAGTGGAAACCACTTCATTCGGGAGTTTCGAAAGGAAATGGTGTTGGGGGTAATTTCTTGTCGGTTTCTAGCTCCTTCAACCCAACCTGCGACGCTGTGGATGGTCGTCGCATCCATGTGCCTGGCGGCAGTGAAGGTGATTTTCGGATGCGAAGCGGGGCGGGGAAAGCCGTACTGAACGGCGAAATGGGTGTCATGCGTCGAGCATCAAATCCTGCTTGGAGACGCGCCATGCATCGTTCAAGTGCTACGCTTGCCGTGCTTGCCACGGACGTATTACTTCCTTTGCGCGAGTGTCCTTGGAGATCGCGCAAATACGGTGAAGACTGCGGTGATGTCGTAGTCATTTGAGACCAGGGAGAACCTCGACCTGATGGACGGGAGAAGATAGACTGAAGAGGAAATATCTCCTGCCAAGAGTCCTCGTTGAGAATATCGGCTCGAGGTGGTGTAGCGTCAGCCCTTAATTCTGCAGTGGCGGGCCTTGATAATACGCTGCTGAGTCTAGGTGGTATTGGAAAGAGTACCGGCGGCATGCTGATGAATTGTGGTGATTTGGTGTTTAGACTTGTTTGTGCCGTACGGGGTCTCGTTTGTGCGGTGTTGGGTCTTGTTGGTGAGGTGCGAGGTCTCGTTTGTGCGGTATTGGGTCTTATTTGGGCAGTGGCGGGCCTGGTTTGGGCGGTGCCAGGCCTTGTGACGTGGGCAGTGGGAGGCCGAGTGGTATACGCTGGGTACTTTCTTCGCTCCGCCCCTACATCTATTTTGAAGGTTCGATACTTCAAATATCGGGGCGATTCCGAAAAGTACTGGGGCAACACAAGGGCGAACAATGGCCGCATAGCTGGTAAGCAAGCGCACACGATGCCTACGTTGACCTCGACTGACGACAGAGTTGCATGATCCGTGTTGTCAAACGACACATCTGTTGAATTGGCAATGGCGTCCAAAGAATAGAGCCTAACAATGGATACCAAGGTGACGCTGTCGATTCGTTAGTCCGTTGCATGGTTTACGGCAAGCAAGCTTGACCCACCTAGCACCCAAGATGAACATAGTCCCTAGCCCCCGTTTCTGCGATTTCGAGATTGACAGCCCTCGTATGACTAATAGCGGCATGAGGAATATCACCACATCCAACGTGATGTTCAAGGCGGCATTCGAAATCCATACTGTGAGTTGGTTCATGCATCTACCGCCTGGTATCGACTTATTCCACGAGAACGCGATCGGGGTGCAAATGAGTACGCTCGAGGAAACTGCCCAAGCTCCATATGCGACTACGAGGACCAAAACGACGATACAGGATATCCGGAAGCAACGGACGGGGAAAATGCGAAAATATTGGACAAGTATGGAGACCTTGATTGTAGTAAGGGTGAGATTGTAAACCCAGACACTCGCCCAGAACGACTGGTATGCTGGTCAGTTTTCTTCTCAAACAACTTAAAAAGAGGACAGGAAGGTTGGGTCGTGCTTTGGACTGGGTTCGCGCTGCATACGAGCTTACACTTGCTTCAACCGAGAGCTAGCTTTATAGAATACAAAGACCTCAGTCGGCGCTCTTGAGTTGTACAAGAGGGTGGAAGGGTATTGTGAGAGCGTACCTTTAGTAATATGTCCAGCTCAGTTTTGGAGAGTCTCGAGGTGTGCTTTCCCAATCCGTTCATTACTTGTTCGGTGGTTAACACCGTAAGTCCTACTGAAAAGAACTGAAGGGGCTTCCATTAGTGAACAGGTGTATGGATGAAAAATATGGTCACTCACCATGGCCAGGACGATAAAAGCATCTTCCCATCCAGCCATTTTTGATATTACCAGGCGTGTGAAAAGACGTAAAAAAACAACCAAACTTGAAACAAGGGTGAAGGCAAGTACTATGATATTAACCCGTATTCCAGCGGGGGTAGAATTAGTGATGTTCATTATGGTGGAGAGGTAGTAAGGGCCAGTCGAGGGTCTTGATGATAGAAGAAAACCGCCAAGAAAAGAAGCTGTAACAATCGCATTGTTCAATACCCCATATTCAGCGTTATGGTAATAACAGAGGGTATTAAGACCCGACACTAATGGTTATAAGGGTCAAAAGGCGAGAGCAAGGCGGCCAGAATGAAAGGGGGAGAGAGAGGGGGGGGGGAGGGGACCTAGCGCGAGGAACAGGGTAAATTGGTGAAGGTGACTTTGGGAGTTGGAGGCATGATGTACATCTATTGGCAGCCCAGCTCAGCTCGAACGATGGCAGGGTTGGCAGGCTTTAGACAATCCTGCTGAATCTGGAAGTGGGGTGATGGCGAGCAGTATCAAAATAGGTTGCCCAGACCCTGCCTACACTCTCAAGACATTACCGTTTCGAACGCGACGAAGACTATAGTATGGCGATCAGTCAAAGCATCGGCCGACTGCTGCCTTGTCCAGCGTGGCGCGACACCAGATACGGGGAAGAGAGTAAGAGACGGGGCGCAATGCCGCGCGGATTCCCCTCTCGGGTAAGTTCATGGGACCCTCTGTGAGTAACGTCCTGGTTTGGCTAGGCTTCGGGTATTGTGACTGAGGCGATGGTACGGAACTTTCGGCGTCGCATGTCAATGACTAGATGCCGTCTTTTAGCAATCAAATAGTGACGACGTGGGCGGTTTGCAGTGGCCTGAAGGATGACTGATTCTTGCCTGGGGGGATGCCGTTGTGCATGATGGTGGCCCTAGGTGTTGCGCATGAATACATGCATGCATGTGCGGAGGGCGGCAGCTGTTGGTAGGAGACGAGTTTTGTTTGCCCTCGTGGTTCGGAATATGTTATGCAACCGTTTGCGGATGGCGCAAGGCGACGAGCTAGTGTCGACGCTGCAGGTCCGGCCGAACGCCAGTTGTGGGCCGAAACCTTGATGAACATCTTACGACCCTGAAACCGCCCCAAGGCTATCGTCGAGCTTTGCAGCAAATAACATTTGCCCTAGGGTGGAAAAACAATCCCTAGATGCATCTTGGTGATCTCAGGGACACTGCATAGGGGACACGCAATAAACCTTGTTCAGCAGTAGCAGGCGTGGCAAAACAGGCGTGGGCGCGACAGTGAAGTTGAGATGCGGCAGATGTGAATGGTTCGTCGGATGAACTAGGCATGAGTCGCTCGATATCGTGACAGCTACATGGTGTGGAGAGTCAGGATGAGAAGGGTGGCCTAGCTTTTGTCGCTCGCTCTTGTCGTGTAGTCAATAGTTAATAAAGCTACTCTCAGCTTTTCCACAGTTTCTGCGGATAGCTCGTGTTGTCCGAAACTATGCCTGGTGGACATGTCCTGGTCTGCGCAATTTCATCTTTGCTGTGTAGTGTACACCAGACAGAACTCTGTGTGGGACGTGACATCTGTTTCTCCCCCTCCGGAAAAAAAAAGGCATCGTGAGCATGGCACTCGGGAGTTGGGTCTGGCCAAGCGCAGTGAGAACGATGACGTTGACTGCATGGCGCTGTGTCGTTTGATCTTCCGGAAAGTTGGCTTCCAGCATGCCTGAGGTGAGATATCTTGTAGTATGATGAAAAAAAAGTCTCCGTAGATGTCCTGCAATACACTATGCATTAAGGGCTAGGTTGCAGGTGCGGCGCATATGGACAGGCTGGAAATGCTTCGGAGGCAGCCAACACGATGACAGATTTGCGCGACACTGATGACCTGCAGGGTTAATAAGAGTGGAAGGGGCGATCCCTTTGGCGTTAGCGATGAGCATGTTTGTACATAGATAGGTCCGTACCGGGGAATATCAAATTCCCAATGGCGAAGGCCTTGGCGATGATCACAGTGAATTGGGCGGCTCGCTACTCGCAACACACGAACTAGGACCACCTGTTGCCTGACACTCGAGTCATCAAGCCATGCCGATATGGGGCCGGGAAGTGTGAATGAGTCGCCTCAGTCGGGCTGGTGTTCTTGGCTATGTAGCCGGTAGGAAAAACTCGCTTGCAAGCGCAATGCCGCCTTGTGAGCAAGTGGGTGATGTAGCTATCTACGTGTATGCGCTACGCCCGCTAATCCTGCTAGGCGGAGACTGACTGCCATTGCGCTACTGTGGGCAGGACGTATAGACATTCGTAGCGAGTGATGATGCGTTAGCGGTGGATACTTTCGAGCGTCGCGAGGGAAAACACAGTCCTTGCAGAGGGTGCTGCCGCGACTCTTCTTCGACAAAGCAGCAAGCCGCAATGGTCAACGAAAAGCAGCACAAGGCATGCGTGGTGTGTCAAAAATTCCCAGCCGACCCGAAGGCCAACTGGAGCGGTCATAGTTGTAGTTTTCAACTAGCAAAAACGCTACCTCGGACGAATCCTCACTGGTAAGCGTAAAGCCCGAGCACTTGGATGCCGGAGGACAAGGAGGAAGAGGGAGACGCAGATTATATACCCGAGGGCACGCGCTAGGTCCTTGGCACGCTGGCATCACGTGATGGGGACGTGCGCAGGCAGTACCAGGCAGCACTAGGCGGCCTTGTTCTGTTGGAGCCAATCACAGCAGCCTGTGCTCTGCAAGGGTCAGAGCGGTGCGGCAGAAGCCTCCCGACTCTCACCCCCAAAGTCCAGATAGAGGAGCAATGTAGACGCCTTTGACGACAATTGATACGTCTTCGGGTATAGCACTGTGTAGTATATAGATACCCCCACACAAACACAAGTGTATATCCGCACACGCACACGCACACGCACACGCACACGCACATACACATGCACGGCTGCTCAGTGCCAAACTCTCCACGGCCAGCGCAGAGTATATGCCATTTGTACCCAGCACACCTTCCCTGACCATCTCATCTCGCCAAATCTTAATCACTTGTCGTCGCCTGTGTAAAGCCTAATCATCTGCCCGTAGGAGCGGGAGACCTGGTCCTTTCTGAAAGGGCATCAGTTGTCGCTAATACCCATGTCCTCCAGTGCCAGCTTCACCATCTGCTCGTATCGGGACTTCCATTTCCATTTACTTATACGTATGTAGCTGGCCTCAACCTGAGCCTTGCAGCTAGACTTCCCACTCTTTAAATTCTGGCTACGAACGAGCTTTGGCCGCGTTTCCGCTCACCTGGCCTTCTTGTCATAACCAGTGCCCAGCAACCCCTTGCCGCGAGACCAATTTTGAACCTCTACCTGGGCATTGGTACTTGCCCCTCTTACCCTTGCAGGCACAATCAGCATTGCATTACGTTTGGAAGCTTGCCTGTCCCTAGCCTTGAGCAAACAATCTTCTTGCCTAACGTATTGCCTACTCCCAAGACTCAGCAAGACCAACTGCTGCTCCTGCTCCTGCTGCTACCGTTGCCGTTGCCGTTGCCGCTGCTGCCGCCGTCGCCGCCGTCGCCGCCGCCGCCGCATCAACTCAACACCTCCCACTTTCTTCATTGTGACGTGAAGTAGCTTGGATGGAACCCGGACCCTTCCGAATGGGGTGCAGGGTTGGCGCCAGTTGTCGTGTTGTATCCCCCATACGTCGAAGCCGCCGCTCCAGCTATTGTCGTTGATGGCTGAGGCACACGAATGCCTGGGACAGGGTCAGAGTGAAAGTCTCGTATTACCGGGGCCTCTTTACGGTCCCAAAGATCCGACACATCCACGCCATACTGCCTCGCCACCCTCTCAAAGCAGTTGAAGGCTATTCGATGAGCACGTGCGGCCACAGGACCCTGCATCCGCTGGAGCCAAGATATCGCCTTTCTCACGTGATGAATCATGACTGACGCCTCGTACGACGTCGATGAGGGATACGAGAGACCGAGTAAGAAGACGGAGACTGCTTGCATCATGTGGTGTACGAGGCACCACCAAGGCAAATCTTCATGAATTCGACTGCTGAAATCATCGGGCAAAGACGCAACAATCACCCTAGCAGCCTCGACACACCCATCCGCCATGTTCCTTGAAAAGCTTGCGTCGTGGGAATCTTTCCATGGTTGCCGTCGCGCAGCCAGAAACGGTCGTGTAAGCAAGATACGCGCGCTGCAAAACTGAAACTTGAGGAGCACACGCTCACGAGAAAACCCATCGCTTGGCCCTCGCCCATCTCCATGCGGTCGGAGCTCCAGAGGTAACGAAGACACCCACTGGTCCAAGCGTTGACGCAAAAATGTCGAGTCCTGCTGAACATCACTTGGAGACCGGATCATCGTACCAGCCGAGTACAGTGAGGTGAGAATATTCTGTGTTATTATCGACAACTGCACCCCAGCCCTGAAGTACAGCCCAGGACCGGTGCTTGGTTTTGCAAAGCCCTGTGGTGTCGCAGAACGGTTAGCAGCAACATTGGACGGGCCGGGAAACGGGGTCAAGTGTGATATCGATGCATCCCCGACATTGACATAGACCGCGGTGATTCCCTCTGTTCTGCTGTCTTCAGCATTCGTCATGGGCAATGGTACGGAACAGTATGAGTCGACCACGATGCTAGGACGACCGATTATGATGCTGAGTATTCTCTCAAGAGAGTATAGGCTCCACCAGATTTGCACTAGAGATTCTCGTTTCTTCGCATTGGCCGACGGGTCTTCGTTTCGCACATGGAGGCCCAGGGAATACGCAGAACGCAGAGCGATGCCGACGATCGTCCAAGCACTAGCATGGTCAGCACCTCCGTCACTTCAACCTACACACCAAAAGGGACATTGGCTGGGCACTCACCGATTGACCTGCCCAACACTGAGCCAATAGAATCCGAGAAGACCTAAGCTTTGAATCTGTGGCACATCTGGATGGGAAGCCACTGCAGCCTCACTCAACCCAAAAGCACGCGCCCGTGCTTGATATGTAATGTGCTCGTTTGCCAGCCAGCCTTCGTTCAGGTGTGTGTAACTGGCTCCAATAGCAAATACGAGGTTCAGGACGATTTGCCACTTTGGATTCAAACTTGGCGCGTTCCCGCTCTGCAATGCCCCAAAGTATACACGAGCCTGCTCCGTAAACTCCCTGCTGGGAAGAATAGGAAAAGAATCGTGCACTTTGGACATGTAGCATTGTACTACAGGGTTAAATGTGGTGGGTCAGCGTGTGTATCACAGGAAGTATGCTGTTCATCCCTGACTTACACAGATGGTCGGCAATATGAGGTTGCGGCATTTCGTGCGGGTTCACGTAGAAGTCTATGTCCACATCGTCGCAGTCTGTCCAGAAGCTGAACGAACTCACCGGCTCGCTGCTGGTGCTGTACGAAGGGCGTCGTGTCGGTCCTGAACTGTCCCAATTCCCCTCTGTTCTCTCGGCTTGGGCGAGTGCAACTGCGCGCAGCCATTGCACCTCTGAACTCTTCCCGACAAAGCCCGTTGATCGAGCTTCATCTTTGCTATGCAAGTCTTCATCTAACAAGTCTAGAATCTCAGTTTCGAGATGCTCGAGATAATCGATGTTGCCCAACTCAACATTTCCGTGTGAGCTCTGAGCGTCCACGTCAGAGTTTGACGGCGTTGGCGTCAGCCTGGCCTCCGTTAATTCTTCGCCAATCTATGCTATGTCAATACAAGGAAGCCTTTATTGGCTCTGGAGGTAAAGGGACGGCCAGCAGAGACTTACTTCGTCTAAAAGATCTGTGATGCGATTACTGTCCTGGGCGTTTGCTCGGTCCCTGATCTCTCTCAGCAACGCAGCCAGCTGCTGACATTGCTGCGTAACCCTTGGGTTGTTAGCACTGGAATTATGTTCGGGAACTAATAAAAAGCCCACGTTTTCAGTCGATCTTTCCGAGGCAGGATATACACGCATTGACGGTTCGTGGTCGCACAATGCTTACAGGTCGGCTTCTCGCCTGTACATTTGATCTTGTGGGAACGACACTAGAGACGCAGACAGGCTGTCAGAAATCATATCAAATTAGACAGAGGTTGGAGTTGTCGGGCGACAGTGGCTCCCGGCGATCGTCGAAAAGACCACGGTCATGCCACCCCACGATTGCACAGGAACATCTGTGTATGATTCAAACTTACTCCAGTGCACGCCCGAGGCACTCGACGCCTATCCTGTGTCCCACTCTGTCCAGTTTCGACCCGTTGTAAGCGTGGAATAGCGATCTTATGTTGAGTGGACGAGCTCGGGCCGTATATGGCTTGGGGATCGTATTCCGGAGCGTTTGAAGCCATGGTTCTAAGGCAGCGCTATTTTGACCGAAGTTGAAGTAATCGCTTCAAAGGATGTACAGCTGGTCTATCTGACATGGGTTTAACGCTATACAGTAACAACGTATTGCCCAAGGACTCTGCATCGAGTCGGGCACGGTGGGACCTTGACCTATGGCGTTGGCGGCTCCAATTTTCGCGTACACTGTGCATCCAAACGTGGTTGTTTGGGGCAAGGGGCCCTATCCGGATCCTAGGGCCGGCAGTCTCGGCCGTCGAGCTAAATACTCTGTTCCTCCATAGACTCGGGAATTTGGAACGGGACACTTGGCCGTGTCCAATGAGAGCGTCAAGAACAGCCTTCCACCCTGGTGATTCAGGTCTTGTCGTCAGAATAATTGTGAGCTGATTCTTCTGCTCTGGGTCACAGATGCAAGCGGAAATCTCTCTCTGTGCAGAAAACCTTTCTTCCAAAAGCATGAGGAAGATTTGCGATCTTCCCTATTAAGGTTTCTACGATTTCCCCTAAAGCAGGCTCTGCAAGGCTGAACAGACAAACAGATTCACGCGAAACCCTCATTTCCAGGAATAAGTAAGGCCAAATGACAGACGGCATCAGAAGAAGTACCGGTGGCGACAAGAGCGGGGACAACGAGAGACATTGTCGGAATACACACATGTACGACCACATCGTGAGCGCTTTACCTTCCCTCACCCCGCATCATCCAGTTCGTGGCGAAAGTACGAACATACACAGTACACACATACACATATACATTCCACATATGGGACAACGGCGAAATCTGAGCTGCGTGGGGAAATTGTTCATCCCTTGCGCAAGTTGGCCTCTCAGTTGCATGGGTTTTGACTTGTGTCTCCGACCCTGTTGCACAATATGCGTTACCAGGCTCAATGACTCGACCGTTAGCGGCGGCACTGTGTGCTCCAGGGATGAACTAGTTCGGCTCCATTGAGCACACCCGGATTTACAACACCATACAAGTAGATCGATGCGAAAAAGGGAACATCTGATGTACCTGGGGTCCAGGGTGAGAGCTGCACTTGCTCATCTGACTTGAACTGCTAATATCCTTTGCTCACATTGGACCTAGTGGCGGTGGTGAGGTCCGCTGCGACATTAGCTTCATGTGGAGAGGAGGTCGTCGTCTTCTTGTACCAGAAAAAAACAGCATCTCCGGCTCAAACACCAACGTAGGAGTCGACAGTAATCGTGCCCAAGCTTTCCCAAGTAGATGAATCGGCCGATTATAGATACTTTTATGTACAGATGCTAGGGTCATATGGACAGTGCACGGTATAGCGGTAGCTATGCTACCGTACAGCACATACACGGTATGTTGCTGAGAAGATTGCTGATCCTTCATTTGAACACAGCTGAGTTTTTCGGATTCGTACATCAAAGAGTAGCCTCGGAAGTCAAAGTTAACAGGCGATATTGAGTCGTGATGATTGGCTCCCATGTTGGCGCGGACCAATGACGAACTATACCGCGTTTATGCGCCAACGAACAAAGATGATCAGCTTTGCTTGCCTGATCGTCTCGCGCGTTCCGCCGAGACATCAAATGTATGTACACACATACAGTACATACACAAGTGGTAGTACCATCCGGCTTACTGATGGTATATGGCGCCGCATGCTTGAAATCGCTTCCGAGCAAGACGAAGGTTCTAGTAGTGCTCACACTGAGAGGATATGTACTTGGACACGGGCATCCGGCACCACCAATCAGCTTCATTCTTGTCGCCTATCTGGCCCCCTTGGTGCTGATGCGCCCGCTGGCATCCGTACATGTATGAGCTGATGCTATGCAAGAGTGGCAATAGGTCTATTCGACCCCAAGCACGCATCGCGTGTCTCCACACACCCCAACGCGATCCCATCGCGATTGCGTACATATCGGTTTCTTGCTTTTTGTGGATACCTCTCCACTGCTCGTCGCTCTGCCATACGCAGATGGTTTAAGCGACAACATGCACCTCGTGGCTGGCCCTTCTGATTCTGCACCCACCGTGCTAGTGGCCAAGGTACATACACTTCTGATGCCCCAGTGCACGTACGCTCATATATGCATAGATACATGCATCTTCCTCGCACATCATTCCCATAAAGGACACTTGTTCATCTCCGCGCGGGCTTCAAGCTCACATGGGCAGCCTCTGAGGGACACGGCCTTCCGGTGCGCACCGAGCTATCATATGCTTGACGCAGCAAGGAATCTATGTACATAATTGTGTGCTTGGTACGTGTGCCATGTTAATATGGATTTGACCGAGTTGACACACACATGGGAAGCCCAATTGGTGGCGCTTGCTAGGTCAGACGTGACTCGGGACATCTGACTCGAACAGGGAAATACTAGCCGACCCTCTGGCTCTGTTTTCTCGAACCTTTTGCAGCCAAGGTATTGCGAATGCGAAGTACATACAAAGATTCGGATACTTTTACATCGATCAGTGGAGCCGTTGGTGAGTAATCCTTCGCGCCTTGGCTTTTCCGCATTCCCACCACACAACGCCCCAGACCTTGACCTAGCACAGCCACATCTCCACTTTTCCGGTGATCCTCTTTTCCACCTTCCTTCACCGGGTCACCGTATAATATACGTGGAGAAATAAGCGCTCGCTTATGTACTCAATAGTACACCAAGAGATGGATATCGAAGGAACCACAGTGGCAACGAACAAGAGTGGAGTGCCAAGTATTGCGTATCGGACAACAGTCGCTAACTCCATTCGATCTATCCAGAGCCCCATTCCACTGGTCGCAGCTTTCAGCCTCATCCCATTTATCAGCTTACTCGTAATCGTTCCGCCTGCGACGACTTTTTTTCCAGCGGGTCCACCAACTCCATAGCAAAGCTACCCACCAACGCCGCCACGAGTGCCCACAGCCCAGCCCTCGCAGACCTCTCGCCAATACAACATCTAGGTCCGTGCGAAAACGTCGGAAAACTATAGTTGTTCCCTGCTCCACCCCTCATGGTCGGGCATCCAGTTTCCTTGTCAATCCTACGTTCAGGCAGAAACTCCTTGGCATCTGGGCCCCACATTGTGGAGTGGTGATTTATCGCCCACGGAACAAGATAAATCATTGTTCCGACCAGGATATGGTGCCCCGCAACTTCTGTGTCTCGGATCGCGACGCGCGTGGCTAAGGAACCGTGGGAAAGAGTCGAAGCACTTCGTTGCACACGCCGTTGAGGTAGTGTATGCTTTCGAGAGGCCGGCGACGTCAAAGGCCGAGTTCAAGAGCACCTTTGGATCTTGTATGCATTCAAGGATCTCTGATCTCAGATGGCTTTGTATGTCTGGGTGTCGGGATAAGAAACAAAACGACCATGTCAAAGTGGATGATGTTGTTTCGTGACTATGGCTGTTAGCTGTTACCAAACAGAAAAAGTTCGTAGCATAACTAAACCAGCCGCTAGTTTCATAAGGTGGTCCACGAGATTCTCGTCCGGGAATTCATTACTTCTAATCATACATGGCACGACATCTAGGCTTCCCTGACTGCCTGCGCTCTCGAGCTTTAATTTGGCCTTTTTCTCAGCCACAAAATCGCTACATGATTTTTTCAAAGCGACTCATCTAGACCTTTAACTTCTTGTTAAGTCCCCGTGACAGCTTGTCAACCACACAAGGCGACAATGAAATCTGGCATATGAAAAACAGCAACTTGTCTTTCGTCGGTTCGAAAATCTCTTTGTACACATTGATCAGTCTATCATCCCTATGCTGCGAAGAATCCATGTCGTGACCCAAGCCCGCCAGGCCTATCACGTCCATGGTAACTTGAGTAGAATAATGCCAAATATCTAGTACTCGGTCAGGCCGCTCACCCAGAGTCTTATTTAGTGTGCGGCAGAACTCTGTCGACTTTGCCCAAGACACAGGATACAGATTTTTGATATTCCGGAAGTGGAAGGCTGGTGTAGTCATCTTACGCAAGTGCCTGTGCTCTTCGTCCTCGGTTGTTATCAGGCTGTTCCCGATGTATTTCTTCATAAGCGTTTTCGCAAATGGTGGCTTCTCAAGGTCGGAGCTCCTATGTACAAGGATATCGGCCAGCGCCTCCATCGACGTCGCAACCAGACTTGTTGTATGCAATATGTATCGGGACAGTATAAGGCCGTCATTGGGTGTCTCCTTGATGGCATCGAGGAATGCCTGCCCGGTCAGCTGACGCAGCCTCATTCAAGTATGGCCGATGAGCAGAATGAAACTAGGTCAGGTATACCCATTTCAATTCTACACTTTTTGTTTCTGCGTACACAGGCCAACGTAGCCGCCAAGTTAGGATCAAGCATGTGCGCACGAAGCATTCAAAGGTCGTTGAGCAGCTTGGTCCTGCACGCTGCCCCCATTGATGTTGGGGAACCGACACTCTCTACTTCAGCAGCTGGAGTCACGCCGCCTCCGTCTGGCTCGTATTAGTAGGAAACCAAGATTGTACCTGATTGGGTGCGGAAATCGTTGCGGACCATGCTTTGAGCAATTCCACCAGGTGCACCGTACACACAAGTTGTGACCATGGCAGCTCGGGAACGATCAGCATGGCGAATAGAGAAAAGCAGGGGATCGATTGGCTGGCATACCGTTGCGTGTTTCGTTAGCCGTGGTAATTAGTGTAGATCAGGTACGAGATTACCGAGATTGATACCAGCTGCGTGTCTGAAACCTAGCCATCTCGTTTTCTCGCAAAATTGGTACAACGAGAAGCGTCAGGTCATGCCGTTCGCGACCATGTTTTCTTTTCTTTTTCCAACCTCTAAATTAGGTCCGGGTACACGTGCTGTATGTAGAGTAGTTCTTGCGGTGGCCTCATATTCCAAGTCTTGAAAATCTAAGCAAGGCGTCTCATTGTGAGACTAATCCTTTTTCCAATACCGATGATCAGCCATTGATGGACGGATCTGGATGCTGCTCGGTACCATTATCTAATATGCAAACCTACGTGTCCAGTAATCAAAGCTTTGATCAGTGTACCCGATTAGACAATGCCGCGGAGAGAGAGAGAAAAAAAAGGCAAACACAACGCACCTGCCATCGGACAAACAGTAAAAGAAGCAAATACAGCAAATAGCAACAGCTCAAAAACAAATATCAACTCACCATTCCGTATCGATACGATCCAAAAAAAACACCCCCACGTCTACTCCATCCTTTCCTCCCCCCTTCAAATCCCCTCCCTTCACCATCAACTCCACCTTCTCCCCAGCCACCACCTCCCCATCTCCCCCATCCCCCTCTCATTCCCCCTCGCCCCGCACACTCCAACACAAACCCCCCCACAACCTGCTCCGCCTCCCGTGAACACCTCGTCAATGCATGATCATCCCCCTCAAAAAGCCTCAACTCCCTTGTTGCCCCGCGTGCCATACTTCCTCATACAACCCCTCCTCGCACCTAATAATCCAACGTGCGATCCCCCCCCCCCCCCCCCCCCACCGTCTAACATTCTTGATGTGCACCTTATAATCCGGAACAAAATTCGTGGGCAATTTCCACTGCATATGCCAAGTTGATTTAGGGGGGAAAAGTATCAATCCAGCCCCGATACAGTAACATCTACAAAAAAACTCACCCTGAACGCCTNAATAGTAAGACAGAGCGAGGGGCGCAAGCAGCGCTATAGTACCATCCGTATCCGCCAGTCTGAGACGCGGATACCCACGCAGCCTACCATACGCGCGTGGGTCCTGGTCCCCCCCCTGACCGTGAAGGCGGGTGCGGAGCCGAAAGGACCAGCTGATCAGCATAAAGGAAGAACATGTGGTATGTATCCTGTAGCTCGCCCATGGCGGTGAGTACGTCGCGGATGCAGTGCTGGGTGCGTGCTAGGAAGCGGTAGTAGTCGAGGCGGAGTGCGGTCATGGGATGCGGTAGCGATGCTAGTTTCGAGGCTAGAGAGAGAGAGGTACATGGTTGAGAGACCTACGACGCCGCCGCCCGTGCCGGACAGGAAGATGGCGCCGGTGGTAGTGGTGGCGGGGGTGGGGGATGTTGATGGTGGGAGGTGCACGAAGGCTGGGACGCTGCCGTTGGGTCCCGAGTCGACTTTTATGGAAAGGGGTTTGACGATGGAGGATGTGGCGTTTGCGTTTGGGGTTTGGGAGAGAAGGGAAAGGTAGTCGTCTAGACGGGTGAGTTTCCAGGAGGCGTTTGCGGTGGAAGAGGATGATAGGGAGGTTTTGGGTAGTCAATGCATAGTAGTAGGTCGGGTCAGTGTGTTGATGTGGCTTAGGAATCGTTTCATGGGATATCAAAAATGGAAGAACGAATCTTCGTCTCAAGGTGTTTGACAATCTACGTTGTTATTTGATTGAACACAAGAACCTGTGCTTCGCCACTTGCTCGTTACCCAATTTGCCCTCTTCGGAATCATGCTTTATAATGTGTGACATCACTTTTTTTTTGAAACTTCTGTGGACACTGGAGTACGTAGTGAGTTTCTCGCCGTCAGCAAACATGATTTCCTCTGACTCGAAAAATCACTTGGACAATAAGTTTCAATGAGATAGCGCAACATCAAAAGGGATACTCAGTCGCTTGATGGCAAATGCAATAGATGGTATCGAATTTCATACATGATCAAGACGAACAACGAGATTAATTGACCCCAAAAAACTCCCTCGTAGCCCAAATCCATTTTGTTTTGTTAGTTCTGTTCAACTGTTCACTTTGGCCCACTCCATTTTCCACTTGGTGCCTTTCCTCTGAACCCACCTCCACCTCTACCACGCGGAGACTTGGTCTTCTCAATCCTGCCCTTTGCTCCCCCTCTACCCTCTCCACCGCTGAAATTGCCTCCCCTCGATCTCTCCTGGCCCAATGCTCGCCTCTGGTTCTTTTGTCCAGCGCCTCCACTCTTCGCACCGCCTCGACCCATACCTGAGCCGGACTTTGCTTTGCGAATTTCTTGCCAATCTGCCTCAGCACCATCATCGTCCATGTCCATTTCGTCATCTTCGTGAGTGCGTTTGTTGCTGAACTTGAGACGTCCCTTCTGGCCGGTTTGAGCGGCATCGCGTCCTCGGATGGCGTCAACGTAGGCGTTGATGCCTGCCTCCAGCGACGTGTTTTGGTCATCAATATCCATGAGCGCATCCTCGTCATCAGCAGATTGCTTCTTTGATTTTTTGCCCTTGGCTTCTGTCTCGTCGTCTGATTCGCCAAGGATGAGTTTGCCGTCTTCGTTTGTGCGCGCCTTGATCTTCGTTGGCTGCTTGCGTTGACGCAGGGGCTTTGTTGAGGATATGTTTCCGAGAGCGCGCTTAGACAGTAGATCAAGAGGCTCGTCCTCATCTTCGATGATGTAGGTGTTGCCGCCCTTTGCGCCGCCGCGCTGTTGTTTGCTTTGACTCTTAACAAACTCGTCCTCGGAGTCACCCTCGCTTTCGTCGCTTTCGCTGCCATATACAGCTTGGTCGTACTCGCTCTCAAACTTGCCCTTTCGCTTCTCAGCTGGATCTTCGCCATCCTCAGCAGCCTGCTGTTTCTTTTTCTTGCGCTGCTCGCGTGTCTTACGGATGTTGGTAATTAGCTTGCGGTCCTCCATAGGAGTGGCGCGCTCAACTTCCTCGACACCGAACTTGCGAACCATGCGCTCTACAATATGCTTGACCTTGGCCTTGAAGTGGGCCTTGTGCTCGTGGCTCCAAACCATCAAATTCCTGAGAAGGGTGTTGAGGCGCGGGCGAACAAGTGACTCGGGCAGTGATATAACCTCGACTTTGACAAAGCCAAGTACACTGCGGACGATTTCGCGATTGGGATTCTGGAGGAATATATCCATGAGATCGCAGAGATTTGTGATTGTTTCCTTGGATATCTGGTCATGGAATTGGTAAAGTATACGGGTGACGGCGGTGATGGATGCAGAAATCATATGGGGGGTCGTAGCAGCCAGACCAGCTGACACCATTGTGAAGTACTCCTCGAGCGATGCCTCTACTGTGGGAGCATCGGCAGGCATATTGGGTACCTTGGATTGCACCACTTGACCACCTTGCGCCATCTTCTCGCCCATTGCGACGAGCAGGTTGTAGGCAGCCTCTCGAGCCTTCTCGTTGGTCTCCTTAGCTGAGATGACGACCTCAGAAAGGATTGAAGGGATGAAGTGAAGATCGGTCTCTGGCAAAGACTCAAGAACCTGGAATAGCGCATTGAGTCGGTCTCTTCGTGCAGGAGCTGATGCCTTTTCTGCACTTCCGAGAAGCAGTTGCTGTAGCTCTGCATTGCGCTCTCTCAAAGCTGCTCGACCCATCTCAGATTCCGCAAGCCGGGGAATAAGCTTGTATGCTTTCTTCTGCAGTTGCGGCTCGTTCTCTCGGTTGATCATAATCTCGGCCATACGGAAAAGCGAACGATAGCTATCGCGTGGGAGGTACAGGGCAATTGTGATGATTAGATCCATGAGGGTGTGGCTCATGGGCGGCATCTTGTTGGGGCCTATCTCCTGCTTCTGTTTGGCTGCTTGAGTCTGCGAGCCAGGTTCGGGTAGTGAGGCTTCAAGGTTGGTCGCAACTCGCTCAAAGGTTTCCATAAGCTCCCTCTCGGGCACGATGCTCAGATACGCGTTGATAGTCCTGAGGATAGTGCCACGGTACTGCGGCAGAGTCTGGCTGTATACGTTGAATAGGACTGCAAGCATGTTGCTTGCGAAGTTACCGAGATGGTCCAAGTTCTTCTGCGCATCAGCTTTAGAGATACGGGCTTGCGCAAGCAGGTCGTCTTCGGACTCCAGTTCCACGATGGCTTTGTTGCTGTCTACCAGATTCTGTAGAGCTCGGCAGATGTCCGTTCGTAGATCAGCTTGGCCATAAAGAAGATTTGCCAACATTTCACAAAAGGTCTGATCAAAAGCATCAATCAAATCCAATGGCAAATCGCAGTAACCGGGCAAGATTGACCAGATTTGTTGTACGACTGTTTCGAAGACCTTGATCTCCATCGTCTTATCCTTGTCGCCGTGATCTATGACCTTTTGATAGAGCTCTTCGCTCAACGGAACCATCTCTTTTCTGAAGTGGGACAGCTTAGCGTTGTGTACGGAATCGCGAAGGAGCGGAAGCATCCAGACTCGTCCAGTCTGTCCTGGTGGTGGCCGTGGCAAGTTCAAGGGGAGTATCTCAAGGACAACATCAGGTCCCATTGCAGTGATTGCTTTTGAAATGACTGCGTCTGCTTCTTTT